GACGATGGGACCTTGGTTGAAAGGCTTTCCGGTTATTCGGATGGGAATGTCGCTGAGGTTTTTCGTCGTAGTCGCCAGCCTCATGTTCGGCCATGGCATGCCAACCCCTTGCCTCAATGCGACCACATGGCTTTCTTCTGTGGTGGCCCTAGCCAAGAAGGGGATAAGTCACTTGCCCGAAGGAGAGCGAGCTGCAGGCGGAGGGCAGCGGTGAGTGGGGGCGAGCGATGATTGAGATCTTGGAGGAGAAGGTGGGCGGAGGATCAACGTCCTGGGGTTTGCTTGTTTCGGTATTTCCATGATATGAAGCGGCTTTCCCCCGCACATGTCCATGACTGTGCCATTTAAGCTTCTTCACCTGTTAAGATATTTATCAGCCTGTGGTTTTTGCAAGAGGTTGTGTTTTAGCATTCCCCCCCCCCGGTTACCTCGTGCACGGCCGACATGGCGAAGCTTCCTCTCACCTGCCGTGCCGCCAGCCGTGAAACGGAATGGCTGGACGGGATCTTGGGGCCAAGACAGGCTCAACAAGAGGCTGCCGCGCTAACCCGAAGCAGACGTCCAGAAGGACTGCGGTGAATGGTGAGTGGACAGTTGAGATTTTCCACCGACGAGGGGTTGACCAGTGGGATGCCACTCCGGCCCTGCGCTTGGACCCCAGCCGTGGAAGGCCTTAAGTTTCTGCCCAATGACGGGCGAGGGGAGGCCGGGAATTATTTTCAGCCAATGAGATTTTTTTTCTTGGGTTCCTTGTGCGGTGGTCGGAGACGTCGGTCGTCGGCGATGGTGAGGAGAAAAAACCAGGGCCTTGATGAGAACCCTGGTAGCCAGATAAATGGTTGCAACCCCAAACCGCCCGGATGATACGCCGCGATTGCGTCTACGTTCTGTCATGGAAAGCTTGTCCTGATGAGATTTTCTAGCGTAAAAGAAGCTTAGCAGCTCTCGATATCCCGAGGCCTGTGGGGAATCATATCACTGCTCGTGCTTTGCAGCCCGTGTCTGAGTAAGCTTCCAGACCACGAGTCTCACGCTTTGGCGATCTGTAAGTTGGGCTTCAGCGACGGTTTATTTTGGATTTCGTATGCTGTAATGCTGTCTTGAGATGCTGTCTTCAGTGTAAAGACGGAGCATGCAGGGAGAGGGAAATAGAGAAAGATTGTTTCCCCAGCGCTCAGAATCGACGGGTCCAGGACGATATGCCATCGTCCCGCGCCGGAACATAAGATAGACAGAAACGGTAAGGCAAGCGGGCGCGGCTGAGATGCCGAGTTGACCATTCGCAACTTTGACTTTTCAGCGTCCCGATTGCCATTCAGGTGAGGAGCTACGGTTGGCTGGATCCATTTCCCCAACGCCTTGATACCGCAGCGGTCGATCGATCTTGGATCGTGCTAGGCTTGTCGTATGGCATGGGGCATTAGCTGGGCCGTCAAGAGATATCACAGCCTGAGAGCATCCTCCAGCGAGGCACAATAGGCACCAAACGCTGAAGAATGTTGGATTGCACCGTGAATGCCGTGATAGTGAGATCGATGGACGAGATCCATCCATCCATCCATCCATCCATCGATGAAAGAGCGATCCTAGATCACAGATCCGGCGCCTTCCGCATCATCAGATGGCCGCCTAAGCGACCCGCTGGCCCTTGCTCCTGCAGCTGCCCAGGACCACACGGTTGCTGTGAATTCTCTGTGGACTCCTTGAGGGCCAGTGGGGTCGGAGCCGCTGGGGGCGGGAGCTGCCCGAAGCGCGGCCGGCGGCCCACAATGCTGACTCGGGGAGCTTCTCGACGGGCCATGCTGCAAAATGTGAAGCTTCGTCGTCGAAAGGATGGTTCAGACGGCGGGCACAGCAAAGCTGCACTAGTCGCTTGCCTGGGGCAAACATGGCCGCCGAGGAAGCCGTTGCCGAGCCTTCATTCGCAGCGGTTCACCCACTCCGGTCGACGCTATTGTTCAACAATGTTTTGTCCAATTGCGCGAGCGCGGGCTGGACTCATCCCGTGTATTCCGTCTTCACTATCGCAGTGTCTTCCTCGTTTTTCAGCTTTTCAGGCCAGAGTCGACCCGAAAACTGGAGTGTTGCACTCGGAACAATGCGGATTTGCAGCCCCTGGCCTGCTCTCCGCTCTCATCAGCACTGCTCACTGGACTTGCTGGACTCGCTGTCCGTGAGATTCCTGCCGAGCACTGATTGCTGGATTACGATGGCAGTATTGGGGCCATTGAGGGCCACTGGGGACCGCTGGTGTGGGTATGCCGGTGATTTGATTTGCAACCCTTCATGCCCTTCCTCTCGTTGCGGTCTGTGTGTCTCGGAACCACTCACTGTTGTGTAAGTGGTACCGTCCAACGGGAAGACATGCGCCGGCCATGCGGGCCATTGCTTGAACAACGACAGCAACAGACAGCATGCGATCGCCCTCGTCTTTTGCCATGTCGGTTGATCCGCCGAACGTTTTGACTCTTCGTTGTCTTTTCCTATTCTCCTGGCCTTCTAGATCCGATGGAAGAGAGGAAAGTGGACAGAGAGAAACAGAGGATGGGCTGCTAGTGTAGTCAGCCACTGCGTTTATGCTGAGGGTAACAGCGCTATCTCCAGATAGCCAAGTCGAGCCCCAGCGTTGCTTTTTTTTTTTTTTTTCCCTTGCTGGAAGAAGAGACGATGGAAGATGTCATCTTTCCCGCGGCCATCCAATTCTATGTTGAGATGTGTGGTATGTGATGGGCGATACGGAGTACTGTACCGCGTGTACAGTATCGCATACGGATCTCCGTCAACCTCCCATCGGGTGTGGGAAGCCCCAAAGAACACTGTGCCAGTAGCGCAGAGACATCCAGACAGCAAAACTCATGAACTCGAAGACCTAAGACTTTTCAACGAATCAGCCTGGATGTAAACCGCTCCGGCCCTTGATTTTGGAACTCCATAGATGGTGTGCTCCTTCAATGACATATCAAGATCCATCGTTCATGCTGTCTGCCTGATAAGTGCCTGGGGGTGCTGGCTGGCGCTTGCCAAAACGGCCGGCTGCTTTGCTGAAGAGGGAGGAACCAGAAAGCAAGTGCCTTCTGGCTTGTCTCGTCTCTTGAGGACCCGTGCAATTTGCCCCTCACTCTTCATTTTCTTTCTTGGTTTCCATCGACTTCAATTTTTCCCCCGTTGCTTTGTGCTCCATTTGAACATCACGGGGCATCACGGGATCCGGGAGCACGCTATAGCTGAGTGCACATTCAGCTAAGAGTTGCAGAGCATCGTCATTGGATAGAGACGGAGTCTTTGAATTACCTATCTCCAGCTTGATGGGTGGACTTTTGAATCATCGACAGCCTCTCTTGTGTCTCCCCTCCCCTGTCTTCGCGGCGCTGTCCCACCCCCGGTTGCGCCGCGTTCTTATTCCCCTCCCTTGGATGGACAGTTGCCCCCCCTCCTCCCCCCCACCAAGATGCTCACACTCGTGCTCTCACACGCCCACACGCCCACACGCGCTGCCCATCCCCAGTCTCAACCATTGCTGTGCCCCCGGCCCGGTTCAGAGTACCGCTCGCGATGGATGGACATGGCATGGCCTGTGCTTGGCCCAGCCCATTCCGTCCTCTCTGGGGGCTCTCTCTCGATTTTCTGATTCTGCCCCAGCCTCGATATTCGACCAGGCCAGGAGCACCTGTGCAAGACCGGGAACTGGACCAGGAACCCCCGGACACTTGGCGTCAAGGGAGTATTTTTTCAGTTCCAGTTTTCTTGTCTCTAGCCCTCTTCCCTCTTCCAGCAAGCCTTAGCTGCGCTAGTTTAAGCACCCAGCTCCTGGCAAACATACATATGCCGCCCGGGCGCTGGATGACCCTCAACCTCGCCGATTCTGTTCCGGAATGACTGCTTTTCCTTTACTGCATGCTTGACTTTGGCCGTCCTCTTCCAGTCTCCGACGTTAGACTGCATCTTCCGGGGCCAGCTCTGCAGTTTTCTGCTGTTCTACCACTGGTAGACCCTGCTTGTTTGCTGTCTCTGCCGCTCAGTGTCCCCATTGCGTTGACCATCGGACCTTCTGTCGAGCTAGCAGCTTACTAGCAGCCTACTTACTAGCAGCCTACCAGCGCTCTTTTATTTTCTATACAGCCAGCGTCAGCCCTATTCTTCTCTTCTGGGCCTTTCTCCAGGTCACCCATACCCACATACCCTCGCTTTGCACACTGCCTTTCAGATACACAACAGCGTTTGGTGCACACGGGCTGTTCGGAGAGAGGTATTAGACCAAGCTCGGGACTCCGAGATCTCTGGTGTTGCTGCTCGGAAGACGACACATCGGTGTATAGACCGTCCACACGGAGTACTTCGCTTCATAGCAGTATACGAAGTCAACAAAGCAGCATTCCCAGCGTGCGTTTACTAGGCAACCAGTCACTTGGCTTCTGCGGTTCTGCCTTTATTGTTGAGGAGCCGGTAAACAAGAAGGCAGTTGTCATTGACAACATTGCCCTGCGCTTTTGCTCTTACAACAAGTTGACACGGTGAAGCCGCCGAACTACCTCGAAAGAGTTATCCGACGCAGCCGCCCCCCCCCCCCAAAAAAAAACGCCTTTTGCAGTATCAACCGTGGCTCTCGAGCTTGGTACAACCGGCCACTCCCCACCTCCGCTGTCCCCCTCGGCTTGCATTTTAGATGCTCGAGGCCTGCATGTACAGATCCCTAGGAACCAATTACATACAACAATCCCCCTCCTGCCCCCAATACGGTTCATGCAGGTTGTGCTGAATGAATCTGCCTTGACCACATCTTCCGGCCGCTCTGATCTCTGCGACTGCTAGTATAGTAGGCGGTGTGTGTGGCTCGACGCCCACCCTCTCTCAATACGGTCCCGAGTGTGTGGCACTTACACGACACCCATCCCACCACAACTCATCTCACCACGGCACCAAAGCAGCCTTTACTTGTTTTTCTCCTGCTCGATTTCTTCGCCTGGTCTGTTCTGGACCAGACGAAGTTACCCATCATCAGCATGCAGAATCCTATTGTTACCTCCGGTGTGGACCAGGAGAGCCATCTTACACCGGATCCAGCTGCCCCGTTCGTCACTGATGGCTGGGTCGACATGAACTCCTTCCACCAACCGACGACTATGCCAGAATATGCTGGTTTCAGCTTTTTACACATTAGTCATGGCCTACCTTCGGAATCCCTCGCCCGTCTTGCAGTTGCTCCCGCGGCTCCTCCGCCTGCTCAACCCTTACATGCCCCTCAACCTCACCCGCAGCTGCAGATGCTCATGATGAATCCGGCGCCGACGGCATGGCCGAGTATGTTGACTAACCCAGCACCGCCTACTTATGCTCCTCCTCCTCCCCCGCAGGCAGCCCCCCCTGTGCCCATTCCGCCGATTCCAGCGCCCATCAAGAAGTCTGGTACGGGTTCTCAGCCCAGGAAAACTTTGACCGACGAGGACCGCCGCAGGATGTGCCAGTATGCAGAGGAGAATCCTGGTGCGAAGCAAACAGATATTGGCGCCCGTTTTGGCGTCGAGAGGAGGTAGGATTCGTCGGACGATTCTCACAAGATGCACAAGACGATGAAAATCTGACAGAACTCGCAGTACCGTGTCCAAGGTTTTGAGAAATAAGGACAAATATCTGAACCAGGATGACCGGAGCAGCTCACCCATCCGGCGACCGCTGAAAGGGAAAGGCGTAGATATCGAAAAGGCGCTGTCGAACTGGGTGACCAAGGCTCAAAAATCGGGCCACACCGTGACCAGGGATGAGCTGAAGGAAAAGCTGCGCATGTTCGCTGCTACTCAATCCGTTAGTGATTCAGTTCTCAAGTCGTCATACAATTCGGCGTGGCTCGACAAGTTTATGCTGAGGCATAACATCAACCCCGGGAGGCTTCTGCGTCGTGCCTCGGAGACGAACATCACCGACAGCATGCGTTCCTCGGGTTCTCCCCTGCTGCCGGCGTCTCAGCCATCGAGTGCCATTTCCCCCACTTCGCCGTCTGGTCAATTGTCGCCCCCTTCGTTACCGGCAACTAAGAACGAAGAGGATAAGGATGGCATGAACAATATCGTGGACTTCACTAATGGCTTGTATAAGAACCCCAATACACAGAGCACGACATCGCTATCCAGTGCCTTCACCGATACATCAACTCCTCCTTTCCCCGGGGGCGCGATCAGCCCAACGAACTCGTTCAACTTTTCTCCCGATCCGAACACCGGTGCCTTTCAGGTTCCTGTTCCCGGTCCTGGATTTCAACGTCCCCGGAGCCAAACTTTCCCGACTCTGGATATGGAGTACTTGAATCAGACCCAATCAGCGGACGCAAACGCTAAGTTCCCTCCGTCTGCCACTCCATCATCGGCCCTGGATTCTGCCGGCACCGAGCCTCCGGTACCGAGCTATACATTTGAGCCTACCGTATCATCGCCGCGGCTACGTCACAGCAGCAGCAACAGCAGCATTGCCGGACGTGGAACGACTACTCCGATTACAAACAGCGCCGTGACGTCGTCACCGGCTTCGCCAACGCAGGAAGACGCCTTCAGGGCTGCAGATACTCTCCTGTCATATCTGAGAAGTTCCAATGGATTGGCCGACCAGACCGAGCTCAAGATTGTAATGAGGCTGACGGAGAAGCTACGAATCCATCAAAGCAAGCCATCCATCTCTGTTGGGATAGGCGGTCTTTCCCGCATTCCCGAAGGCGACAACGAGATGGCCAGCGCTCCGCCCGTGATGAAGATGGAGACGACTATGAGTGCGTAGGATCTGAGTTTTTTTTTTATTTCTCTTGTTTGACAAACATTTCGCAATCTCTTAAGCTACCCTTTTTTGGCGCATTGGTTTTTTTTTTTTTGGTTCTGAATGGAGGGATTACGGAGAGACGTGGTTAGCACATTGGCACATAGGATTTCATATATATACCCCCCATATCCTGTCATTTGTTCACCAAACTCACCTCACCTGCGATACCTTTTCCTTACTCTTTGAAAGAGCTTCCGCTCACGCGGCTTGCAATCACTGGTTTCTGGAGTGCCTTCGGGTTGTGTGGTCTGTCTTGCAGGAGATTTCTCAGGGTCTGCTTTAGTGTTTTTCTGGCGTATGCCTTGCTGGGGTATCCGCCTTGTTTGTTTGTATTTTTTTTTCTATTTTTTATTTTTATTTTTTTTTTGCACGCACACCTAACCCCCCCCAAGTGTGTACTATATATATCATTGGATGAAAACTGCATATCTGTGTATTGGATTGATGGGCTTTTGGACTAAGGGCTTATTTTTGGGTAGGCATGGATTGGGCGTGGACTGTTCCTCGTGGAAGAGGACGAGCACTCGCTCACTAGGTGCTTAGGGAACTTGAATCGAAAGGGTTCTGTTTCATTTTGGGTTGTTTCACTGTTCCATGATTTTTTTAGCACATATGGGATGGTGAGCCAGGGTCAAGTTCCTTGGAAGTTCCATGTTTTGAGTGGATTGGATGTGGTTTTGGATATTCCCAAAACAAATTCAGGAAGAAATTCATCGGACTTTGAGACCGGCCAGTCTCTCCCATGCTCGTAAACTCGATGAAATGATAATCACATCTGATAGGACTTTCTGCAGAGAAAGCAATGCAATAGTATTAGCCTTCCGTTTTTAGCAGGCCATGCAAGGCTGAAGTACTGAGTCCGTCATCACTTATTCGTCCAACCCAAACGAATTCTACAATACACAGAACATAATCACTCAAAGTTAGACGGGGTGCACTACATCGGGTATCCTCTCTGCCCATAACTCCCCTACACCTCGCTCTGCTAACTCCGGTATCAGCCGCACCAGTACCAACTCCAAGATCCCGTAGATGAGATGCTTGTTACAGTAGGCATCGCTAAAGACGTCTAGCACAGAGCGGTCAATCTCTCTAAGTACCGCTTGCTCATCTTCATCCCACTCCTCGTCACTGTCGATGTCGTCATAATAGACGTAGTGATCCTCGTCCTCGCCACAATCGTTCCACCTGTTGATATCATAATAATAATAAGCCTGGCTGTGGCTGGCTGGTTTGTGGATTAGCCTCCGCTTGCCGTTGCGGCGATCGTCGTCGGCACCGTTATTTGTCCGACTAGCGCAAAGGCTAGTGTTAGTGCCGGCGCTAGCGCTAACGGCAGGTCTAGGAAGAAGGCTACTACTAGCGTCGGCGTCGACAGCGACGTTGCTAGCGGATGTGATTGGAGTTGTGGTTGACGAAGGAAAGGATGCCGGAGGAAAAGCCGACGATACGGCAGCAAGCCCAACAGGGCCCGGAGCGGACCGCTGCTGCTGCTGATGCTGATCTTTGGCGGGGAGTGATGAGAGTGTGGAAGGCGATGGGGAGGATCCGATGTTATTTCCCTTTTTGTCATCCCTCGCCTTGGTCTTATCCCTGTCCTTGTCCTTTTTAGGACCACCATTCTTCAGCCATGCTGCTGGTCCTAATCCTACTTCTCCCACTCCGGTAGATGAGGAAGAGGACGTGAACGAGGACGTGGCAGGTGTGGACGCGGATCCTTCCCATTTCGTGGCCCTCCCGCGAGGCTTATTATGATTATCATTACCCTTTCCTTGTGCCTTTCTTCCCGGCTGATGCTGACTGCTCTTCTTCTGGTCATTTTTCTGCTGACTCCGCGAACCGAACCCGAACCCTCCTAGAAAGAATGTCTTTACCACTGAGCGCACTGCCCCCGGTCCGGGAGCAATTGCCCTGTATACTGCCCGGGCACACCTCCGTCTCAGCCGGCGATACTCCGCTTCGGAGGCCGGCGGCACTAGTGATGAGGGACCCGCGGGCATGTTACCCGGGAAGAGGGCGGCTCGGGCGGCGCGTAAGATGGAAGGAAGTTTGGCCGGGTCGAGTGCGCTGGTGCAGAGGAGGTGAGAGAGGAGTCTGTTTCGGGAAGATGTGTTAGTGTGTACTGTAATGTACTTGTAAAGTGATGTAACAGAAGGTATACCGGGGAAGGGGGGGGGCGCCGAGTAAGGCAGACTGGGTGTAGAGAGATGGGCTGGGCTGAATGAAAACGGGGAGCTGAATGGGATAGGAGGAGGAAGAGAAGTGGTAAGCATGAATTGTAGAGGTATGTAGTGAGGCTTGAAAAAAGTCCGTCCATCCATGACAGTGTGTTTGTCTTTGCTTTCTGTCTATAGTGGTGGAGGTAAGCTTCTTTGAGACAAAATCTGTCAAATCCAACCACTCGGGAATTAAGTTGAAGGAGATTGTATCTTTGTGGACAGTGCCAATCCCGATGACTGACGGCCCTCTGGGCTGCCATGACAAAAAGAGGGAATGCAATGTGGAATATCCCGTTGCTACTATCCCTCGCAGCTCCCTGACCTAGCCCGGAGAAAATGTCATCTCCCCAAGTCCTTGACGGAATGCAGGAGAGATGGTGAAACCGATGAGGCGAAGAGGAGCTTCTGCTATGGATGACTATCCAAACTAGCTAAGCCGGATCTTCCCCTAGTTTTACTCATGTCATCGTCATCGACAAGAGGGAATCTGGACGACTCTTGGATTGAGCTTGAAGCTCCTTTGAGCTCACTTAGCCCAAACTAAATCACCGTCACATCGTGTTTCATGCTCGAGCGTCAAGGATGGAGGACACTGTCACTCCCATAATACCCGGAGCTCTCCTCGTCAAAGTCTAGACTGAACTTTCAGCCAGCATAGGGTGTGGATGCTGAGTGAACACGAGCCGTTAGCAGCATCCGGGGAAGCAAAGCCCATGCATAGCTTAGCTAACCCCTAAATGAACCCCCCTCTCTTTCCTCCCAATGCTAACGCAAGTTAATACCCTGCTTCCGCGAGATGATCTGTCAACTTGTCATGGGGCGGACGGATCAGCACGGAATCCAGACCAAGTTCGGATCCATCGAACATTGACTTTTGACAACCTCGGCATTTGACACCTTCCTCTTCCTGGATTGGCGTCATCTTAAACCAGAGAAGTCGATCTCGTCATCAAGTTAAAGCGCGAAGTGCAGGGCATCGGGGGGAAGTTTGTGAGGGGGTAGAGAGTAAAGTTCCCATCCCGGCGCGTAAATAAAGCTAGCTTGTCGAAGGTGATGGTAGCAAGAAGCGCCCCACGCAGCGCAGAAACATGCAATCAGACGCAGCCAAGGCGGGTGCGTGCAGTGATTGGCTCAGAGGTGAACGATCAAATATTGAGTGGGTGTGTGGATGGAGTGGAGTTTGCAGTGTGTGTGGTAGTCAGAGGTAAAGGGGGGCATCATGCAGAAGACGATATGTGTGGATGTGTGGATGCAAGGACGAGGTCCCGCGGAAGAAAACTTGCAGCGGGTCGTCGAACTGGCCGCAGGACCTGTGGAGGTGTGCTCTTTTGCTGACGTTCCACAGCGTCTAGACCTCCATCGTCCCGAGGTCAGAAGCTCCGAGGCGTTGCTGACTTCGCGCGGTCTGGGCATTTGGGGATTAGGTGAATGCAAGCTCTTCCCTTTTTGCTCCCTTTTGTGCTTCCTTTACTCCATCGTTTCTCATCCGCTCGCTTGAGTTGTCCCAATTTGCCCTTGGAAAACTTCGAGCGTTGTAAAACCAAAAAGGATACTGGAAGATGTCGATGGGAATCACTCGGAAGGCCCTTGCGCTGATATCACAACACTTCAGCCGCTTTAGCCGCCGCTATTGTACTTGCAAATCTGCGCGGGGTAGTGCGGCTCACTTGGCGCCAGGGCCCAGCATACCGGTCAGGTCCAGTGACCGGTCAAGTATGCAGTGTGACGAATGAATATGCGAGTGGAAATGATGTGTGCTCGGCAAAGGGATAGTGTAGAGGAAAGAAGCCGCAAGAATAGAAACAAAAGAGAAGAAAAAAAAATGTCACCTACCTATCAAGCTTCCCGTCCACGGCGCCGACTTCTCCCGGCCCGGTTATCGCAGCCCATTGTAGCATCGATAAGATGCCGTGAAGCCACGGCATGCGGAAGTCCAGCTCGACGAGCCTCAATATCGCGGACCAGCATCGGAAAGCTAATACTGGCGTCTTGGGCGCCTGCTTGTGCGGATCGGCGGGTTTGGAGGGTTCATAGTTCTTCAGCTTCTCAGCTCGTTGTGTCGACGTTCGCGGTGGCAATGTCTTCGCCATCGTCAATAGGGTCCAGAGGCCCCTGAAGAACGACATGGTTAGGAAGCACCATTGGACAATAGACCAAAACAGCCCCTGAATCGAAAACCTTTTGCCACCGCCCGTAGTACCACCAGTAGCCTCGACAGCTGCTGCTGCTGATCTTCGTCGCTTTTTACTGCTCGTCGACAACGAGGCCCCTGACGCCGACTCCTTCTCCCCAAACTCAGCAGTAACTCCCTTCCGCGCATTCCTTGCCGCGATGATCAATAACTCAAAGATCATCCATGGCTCCGATAGTTTGTTTGCGACGAGGTTCCCAATGACAAGCTCCGACAGGATCTGGCCAACCAGCGTGGTCAGCACGCTGTTCTCCAGGTCCTCTGTCGGCAGCAAGATGGCTAAAACAGCATACACAAGCAATTGGCGGTAGGTGGCTTCGTTCTCGGCTTGTTGCCGCGCGATGGAGATAGTGTCAGGGTCGGTGTCTTCGTCATCGCCTAGTTGAGTGCGTGGGACAGGGGATAGTGCAGGCAATGGCCACAGCGAGTGGTAGACTTCTCGTGGTTCAGTCCTCACAGGAGGCTGTGTGATAGGATCATGGGCGGTCCGGTAGGCTAGCAAATTCACCAAGTCATGTTAGCCAAACAGAGCCCCTCAGAAGCAAGATCATCGCCACAAGACCAAGCTTCCAAAGATGTGACGACGAAAATGCAGAAGCATGAACCTGAATGAATGTATGAACCAACCAGTAATATGCCTCTCCAGCAGCTCCGGAATCTCGTCAAACACCAAGCTCTCTAAATCCACCTTCCTCAGCCGCTGCTCCAGCGCGCGCGTGATGTGCGCAATGAGCTGAACAATCTCACCCACAAACGTCTCGTCCGGCGTGATCTTGTGGTACCAGCTCTGCACAAAGTCCCTGAGGATAATGGCGATCAATGCGTACAGTTGCAGGTCGACATCATTCCGGCTCGTGAGCGGAGGCAGTATCTCCTCCAGTGCCTGAGCCGAGGACAATCCCCCTCCCCCGCTACCACCAGTAGTCCCTCCCGAACCCTTACCATTGTCCCCCAAACAAAGGATCCTCCTAATGAGAAATACAGTTGCCTTATCTGACAACGGATCTGCCCCCGCAGCAATGGCAGCAGTACGGTCTCCTCCTGTAGTACTCGCACGGGTGCTGCGCCTCTGTGCCGAAGATGAACTGCCACTAGACTGCTGTGTCCCTGAGCCACTGCTGCCACTGCTGCCACTGTCCGTCGACGTTTTGCACCCTAATCCCGAACCAGGGGGCTGTCGCGACGAGGATTTGGATGCCAGGGGAGTCTGGGATTGTATGCTGGAGGTGCGAGCGTGCCGAGTCGGTCGGGGGGTTGATACTCGTGCTGGGCCAGGGCTGGGCCCAAATGTCGATGTTGTTGCCATCGATCACAGGCTGTTGCTTGGGTTCCCTTGCTATCAGGTATCCGAAACGCAGTTAGATCGCAATCGCTATGACATCATGTTTGTCTCCGAAAGTTGATCAGGTCAAACTGCGGTTTTTGATGCCAAAGTTTCGTGTCACGCATCATGCGGCCTTGTGTGACCAGGCCACACAGGAGGGGACCAAGGGTGTGGGAATGATGTGGGACAGTTAGCGGTGGGACGCGCCCAGCGCCTTATCAGCAGCTGCGTCATGTTATCCATCATCGGCAGGCGGTGAGCTGAATGCTGGGGTCAGTTTACAATGTTACGGTAATTACAATATCGATACTCTCAGTCTGATCACTTGTGACACTGCTCAGAGCATCATAACCAAAGATCAAGGCTTCCACTCGGGTATACCTGTTCATTCCCTCTCTCAGTAGCATGTATGATACTTGCAGGTTATTAAACAGCAGCTATTAAACGCCATATCCTTTCCATCCCTAGCGACGCCGCCCGTTTGCATGAAAATTACACGCCAGTTGTAGCGTATCAACCCAGCCAACAAGGTTCATTAGATATGTCCGTCATGTAGATAAATGACGATTAGAAGGCAGACCGAGTGCGGATATCCTGGTAGAGAGTTAGTGAAACAGTTATGGACTGGATTCCTTGGGGTTGAGAACATACCGAAATCTTGCGCTCGATCTCCCGGACCGAGCGGTCCAGCTCACCAGCAATCATCTGCTTTTTATCGTTGGGCAGCAGCGTAAACCTCTCGCAGAGGTCACCATCAATGACACCTTTCACCGGCACATAGTAGCCGCGGTAGATGAGATGGTCGCGCCCGGCCAGAGGCGGGTCCTCAGCGCGCATATGGCTCTCCAGGTTTTGGAAAAAATCGGCATCCTCGCGCGTAACGAAGGGGATTAACACGCCAACCGTGCCCTGGATGCCGCTCCAAACAAGCACGTCTTGACCACCAACCACCAGATTGGTCTTACAAATGCTTGTGGGGAGATCCTGTGGGTAAAAGTGCGCCATCAGATCCAGACGGTTGGGTGCACCGTGCAGATAAGGGCGAGCATGCAGGAGCTGCACCTCCGAGCCAGGTTCGTCGCTTTCCAGACTGGCCCGCTCCGGGCACCGCACGATCCAGAGGTTGCCGAACTTATCGCCACCTGCGACAGATTCGTAGTCAACCATCGTCGTGCACGTCGTCCAGCGCGCAATCGTGTCGTCGGCAAACGGAATAAGCTTATTACTGTCTGGCTTGTAAACGACATATGTCATGCCATGCTGGACGTCGCCCACCACGATACGATTGTGCCGCGTATCCAGTGACACAATGAGCTGTGGGGAGACTTCGGCCTGGGCCTTCCGGAGTAGTTGTTTCAGACCGAGGTCGTAGATGCGAAGCATCTTACCGATACCAGCGAGAAGTCTGCCCTGGAACGGACAGAAGGCGAGAGGCGGCTCCTCAATGATCGTCTTGTGGATGAATTCGAGGTCTCTGCCGTCGTCGATGAACCGATAAACGTGAATAGCACCCTCGGTCGATGCGCGGGGGTTGAGGACCATATCCTTGCCTGTGCCGACAATGAGGAAGCTTTCGCCATCTTGACTAGCAAAAGGAACCACAGCTGCACTGACAGCCGCCTCGTTACCCTCAAGCTCAATCCGCTTGAGCACACGCGGTTGCTCTTCGCTGACCGGGTCCACGATCTCGATGCATGACGCCCATCGTCCTCTTGCCTTGGGATACCCGAAATCCTCCGGAGGAAGGACGGTTGCATCACCGTTCACAGCTCCTGATTGCTCTAGGAGCTGAGCCCGCAGCTCTGGAGGAAGAGTGTTGTTATCAGCTTCGATGACATAGAAGTACGGCTGCTCGGGGTGCTTGACCAGCCGCTTAGGGGTGTAGGTAAGAGGGCAGGACTTTTGAATCATAGTCTGCCCAAGCTTTTCGATAGTAAAAATCCTGAGACATTGTCAGCATGGGCCAGCAAAAGTCGTGAGCAACACAAGGGCGGAGTATTAATTTCACGTCAGAAGGAACAATTGATACAACAGCCGTTGTATTCAAACCTCATAGCCAAGTACGGCATAGGCATCCCTTTTTTCATCATGCAAAGTGTTGGAACGGAGGTGGGACGAAAGCAAAACCTTACCTTAGGTAATTGGCATGGATGCCAACCATACCCTCCTGGCACTGCTCACTGTTAAAACTCCAAGTATAGCCGAGCTCGGTGTAGCTGAGCGGTGTCATGACAAAGTTCCTGGTGATAGGAGCAGTGTAGCCCAACCATGGTCTCGAGCTGAGAGCCAGAACACAAGTCTGGTTCTGCACGGTAACCTGGAACAACTTGGTAGGCTTCGGGCCAAGGAACTTCTGCCGGGTGTCCGTCAGTTCGCCCGTGATCTCGTCGAGAACTGTCCTGAGGTAGACACCGGAATGCAGACCGATGTGGAGGTAGAGCGTCGTGCCACCCGTGGAATCCTCCATTGACATGATGAGCAGCGACGACGGGGCTGCTGTCAGCGCTTGGATCGACTTCATTTCCAGGGTCGACTCCGGGTCGAGACTGAGGATACGAACAGTGCAGTCATCGCAACCGACGGCCAAGAAGGAGCTGCGCCGTAGACCCTCAGGCACCTTGCCCAAGCTGAGCGAAGTGACAGTGCCCGACATTTGCTTCTTCTCATCGTACTCGGCAAGAGACCCATCGGCATCCATCTCGAAGTAAACAATCTCGCCAGAGCTCAAGGCAATGACGACCTGGTTCTCGTTGGTGGTTGCGGCGACGATTGATCTGTGCTGGGGAGCCGGCCACTCGTTGACACGACCCTGGACAATATGCCGGATGCCCTTCGGGTGAATCTGAATCAAGCCCTCCTCGCCCATCTGCTGCACGGCCAGTGTCGGCACTGTCGTCAAGAATCCGCTATCGCTGACCTCCTCCACTGTCTCGCCAATACTGAGCACCAGGGTCGCGTTCGTGAACGACAAGACAATGTACGCGTCGTACTCGTCGTACTTTGTGAGCTTCGTCGTCCAAACGGCGGAGGGAGTTCCGGGAAGCTCAGAAGCGACAATCTCGGACACCTCAAGACCATGCTTGAGCATACGGAACGAGCTGCGTGCTCCATTGCCGCAGATTGCGTAGATCTGGGGCGCATCCTCACCAGTCAAGTTTGCAACCTTGCATCCAACCAAGGGGTTCATCGAGTCGATGCTCTCAACGAGAACCAAGTTCTCGAGAGGCCGCGGCTTGAAGTAAACGGGGTTATACGGCGCGTTCCAATCCGCAGGGAAGTCATCGCTGGTGAACTCTGGTTCATCGTCATCGTCACCGAGCTTCTCGAACTGGTAGAAGTGATGGTTGCCGAACTCGCTCGCCACGAAGAGGAAGCCGCTCTTCAAAATACACAAGCTGTGGGCAATCGGAACCGTGTCGAAGTACTTGATCTTCACGCGCTTGACCTCGCCCGTGGGGTTGCCCTTCTCATCCTCGACCATGTCAATAGTGACCTTGAAAAGATCGCCGTCCTCGGTCTGAAGCAGGAAGAAGAACGCGCCCGCGCTACCCTTGAGCTTGTGCATAACACCTGCGACAATAGTCCGCTTCCTATTCGGATCCTCGGTGGCACCGCGCCGTCGCGGAATAGGGACGCGGAAGGCCTCCTGGTTTGAGTGACGGTAGGTGATGTTCTCCTCACCGCACACCAAAACACCGCTGGGACCATCATTGCCGCCAGGGACCTGAAAGAGGAGCGACGAAGTCGGGTCGACGGTATCGGACCACTTGCGAACGACGTGGTTCAGACCAAGATCAAGCTCGTAGTATACAAGCTGCATCTCAAGCTGCTTAGCAGCTTGGCCGGTGGGGTCTTGGTCCGCCTCAGAGTATTCGTACTCAAGAGCAGCAAACACAGGGTTCGAATAGCCCACGTCAAGGGCCACAAGTGAAAGAACAATCACTCCGGGCTTGTGAGCCTCGAGCGGCGAAGAAATGGTTAACTCGGCCTGAGCATTGCGATTGAGAACATAGACCAGCTTGTTCTTCTCAACTGACGCGATCAAGCACGCGCGACCCTTGGGGTCGGCAGCCAGGTACTGGCCGGGGATGACGCGACGGACACCCGACTTGCCAAAGGTCTCAAGATGGATACGCTGGAACCTGTTCTCCTTTGGCAGGTACTCGATGATAGCAATGCGGCCCGAGTCTGTGGCTAGAATGATGTAGTCTAGGTGCAGGTAGGGATTTTAGCACAGTTCCGCGGCAATTGGAGAAAATGAGTGAGATGAATCGTGTAGGCCGTTCTACGAGAATAAAGGAGGAGGAGAACATCATCCCGCCGAAGCTGCGGAGTGTATCCAGAATCACTATGCTGTCCGAGAAACGGCGGTGGGAGGGGGGGCTGGGTCAGCGAGAGCGCGACTCACCTTTGTGGCTGCCGGCAAGGCGAAATGCGGCCATTGCCCGGATGATGCCGAAGATGTCATGAGATACAATGGTATTGACCTTGCCCTGCCTTGGATCGGGCTGCAGAAGCGTCAGGCGGGAGCCCGACGCGGTGATGATCTGCTGCTCCTTCGTACCCGAGAACTGACCAAGCAGCGCCTGCGTGATTGTCGTTGGCGGCTGGATGGTCAGTGAGTACAGGAACATGTTCGACGTCGTGGTCGCCATGGCTGCCGCGGTGCGCAGAAAGCCGGCGCGGCTTTGCTGTGGTGAACCAACTTGACGATTGCGGCCTGATGACCCTGCAAATTTCGATGAGAGGCAGCAGAGAAAAAATGGAGATTGTCGACAGGAGCTCCAGTTATCAGCATGCATGCTGCAGTTTAAAAATGTAAGCTGCGGAGGGGTCATGATGGTCTGTGCGCTATGCCAATTTCGGGGCATTGCAGGAACCAGTAACAAGATGCCCCTCGGCTCGCTGGCAGCAGATTGGGACGTATATTGGTGGCCTGTGCCGAAAACATGCTCATACGGTTAGGGGTAAACATATTGTTTATGTACTGTACGTTGTAGTTCCAAAGTAAACTGCACAATTGTCTAATGAGAGGAGTTCAGGGCGTTGGGTTTGTATAGCCCTTCCAAGCCTACAAAGTTAGACCAAGGTGTATGCAGTTATGCATAATTAGAGCCACACTGTCGCACTCAACCTTGCTTTCGGGTCATCATCCAACATCCAAAAAGTTCCGGGCTTGATCATTCGAGCTCATCCGCGAACGCCGCTGACCACAAAAACACCGATGGCATCCCCCGCAGACCTCACGGCGCGCTCAGCGCTGTCGAGGCTATGTACACGCTGCTCGGTTTCCCTCAGCAGACAATCCCGCGCGGCCAATGGCTTTGCTCAGACTCCCAAGCACCAACAACGTCCCCTCTCCACTACCAGCTCTCGGACAAGACGTCTGGCCCCCTTATCTCCTCTCGTTGTAACCAATGCTGCCTCGAAGCATCTCGCTGCAGGCGCTTCCAGGTTAAGCATTAGCACAACTTCCCGGGCCCTCCACGAGCACGATCCCTTCAAGTTCGACCCATACTACGGCAACCCGTATGCGACACCAATCCTGAGCCAGGACAATCTCTTCCATCCCTTCTCGTCATCGCCGATCCGCGCTATCCGGGAGCGAGCTTGGTTCATCAAGCGGCACTCTAGCTGCCCGCACCCGGACCACGCCCCGGGGGGCAGTCAGCTGCCCAAGCACTCCGAGTTCGAGTGTCCCGACTGCGGCGTCCCTCTCTATTGCAGCAAAGAGCACTGGGCCGACGACTACGAAAGGCACTTGGAGGTGTGCGATATCCTGCGCCAGATCAACGAGGACGACCACGACCTGCATTCGGGCCGCTACTTTGCCGAGTTCGAGTATGCCGGTGTTCAGCTCGACGAGGCTCTGGTCAACTTCAGCAGCTGGGATACCTTCCTGTACACGCGCGAGTTCAAGGCTATCAACTCGGAGCGCAGCATGCGCCAGGCGACCAGGATACTTACCTACCCCATTACTATCGGTAGCATCCTGCACGAGCTGAGCCCCTACAATATCAAAGCTGGCGGCCGGTTAACTGTCGAGGGTCTGAAGAGTTTCAGCGGTACGTGACGACAATCCCTCTGTTCTCTGCCACAACCTAGCGACTCTAATTTGCCATAGCTCTTCGGTACAACCTTCACCCGCCCAAGAACGGTGGCGGCCCATCCATCAAGGACCTTCGTGTGCGCCCGCCCCCAGTGCGCATCTTCGTGCTTGGCGCTCGCGCCGAGTCCTCCCTCCCGCGTGATGCCTGGATCCAGATCGCACACCTCTTCCCTCTCTGCGATATCCACCTGATCTTCATCGGCCCCGAGGCGATGTTGAACCGCAAGGAGAAGATACCGCCGCGCACGCCAGAGAACCCGTTCGGCATGGTGGTGGAAGATCAGTTGTGGCCAGGCTTCAAGATCAGCACGATCGCTGACTACTATCACACGATCCATAAGACGGGTTACTTCTACCCATACGACCCGTACTTCGATTGCTTCGTGCTGTTCCATCCGGGTCTGGGCCACCCGGCCAGCTCACACCACTGGGCTGAGACGCTCCCTTACCTGCTCGAGACCAAGGCGCCGATTATTGTGACCGGATACACGGAGGAAGATATGCAGCGTGATATCAACTGGGTGAATGAGCAGGCAAGTGGTGAGTTTGATCTGCTGCTGGAGCCGGGTGAGAACACCTTCCGCAGCTTGAGGTGGGATCTGAATGATATGGACCCGCTGGACATAAGCGCGGGCAACTGGGGAGTTTGGGCGTTCAGAGGCAAGAGGTGAGTTTCCAGTTTTCTGATGAGCTTTGTTGACGTCTCTGATGCTAACCAAGCAACAGGTACGAAGCCACGAGGAAGGACGCATAGCAGGTGTTTGTACAATACAACCTATGACCGACCGGGTCACTGTATTTGTACAATATTCAACCATGTATACCACATGTCTTCTTCAATGCGCCATGATTTTGTCCAATCTGAGTATTTTATAATTCCCCTTTCATCCCAACTCTATTCTGCTCACCTTCTCCCCCATCTTAAGCCCAACCCCCATCCAACCAATCCCTCTTTCTCCCTTTTACCCATACCCTTTCCCATTGTTCCAACCACCACCCCCTTTCTCCCACTCTTCCCTTTCTCCAACGGGTTTTCCCTTTCCCACTCCCAATCTGCCCAATATGCTTCTACTGCTTCTTGCAGATCCCAACCACACCCCTCCAAATATACAGTCGCTACATCATAATCCGGCTCTTTGCATGCCACCATCCACCTACGAATCAGTACCTTCCGTTTCCTTTCCGCCTCGTCTTCTTCTACTTCTCCATCCTTGCGGTCCCCTTCTGTCTGGGGGGGTAACTTGGAGCAATATGCTACGGGAATCAATAGCGTCTGCCTAGCAGCTAGCAGCTGGTCTGCATCGCTCGGGAGCTTGTTGTGCAGTCGCAGGATGGTAGGGTAGATGCCGTAACGCAAGGAAAGAGAAGCGATGGTGTCTCGAGGATGACTGTGTCTTAGGCGATGGACAATGTACCCTTCTTGGGGAGGGGATGTTTGCGAAGGGGTTGCTGTGTATGGCGGGGGAAGGGGCCCAGGCGATGAGGATTTGACATTAGAGGCGATGACGGAATACGGAGGAGGCTTATCGTCGTTGGTGTCATCGTCGAGGTAGGTTGCCTCAGTCTCGGATGGGACGGATAACTTTTTGTCAGGACTGGACCTCGTCAAGGAGGGAACTCGGCCCGATGTTTGGCAGTAGGGGCAGTAACTCTGGAACCGAGGGTTTTTCTGCAACAGGGTCAATACGTCAGACAGCTTGTGGTATCAAGGAGAAATCAGGATGCAGTACCTGGATGCAGTTGCCACAAATGGTACGACCGCAGCAATTTAAGCGACGATTGTGGCTGTCTGGCAGGCCCTTCTCAGAAAAAGAGGACGCTGAACACAAGGCTGATAGAAGAGCTGCACAGGTGCAGCAGGCTTCAGGTGTTATTTTATTGGCTGTCATGTTGGTGTAGGCCATAGAGCTTGTAGGTTTGAGGTATTGGGTTATTGATGGAAATACTATTTCTAGGAAACTCCTACAGAATAACGGGACAGGACTAAAGGATACAGTCTAAACGGTTCTCGTGGCGGAACTAGGTGTTACAGTACAAGTAAACGGAAAAGTTACAAGTTGAAAACCTGATTGCCAGCTTGAGTGACAGGGCCTCGAGTCGACTTGCATTCCATCATCGATCCCAGGCTCTCAGAACTCACCGAGAAACTTATCGATAAAGCCAAGAAGTGCCCCGCATTCCCTCCACGCAGTCTCCGAGAACTTTTTACCCGGGAGAGCGGGAGTAGGCAAGACCTTATCGCCCCAAGCATTCCACCATTCCATCCCATGTTACAATAAAGCCTTGTTTGTACCTCCAGAAACTGGAGAGAAAACCGAGAGCTTCCGAAGTGACCCGCCGAATTGGGAGTGGGCTTGACAACATCGGCTGCGTGCAGACAGCCTGCTCGTGCTAACAGCAGATTAATGCAGAGCGATAGCAACTCGTCTTTCCTGTTAAGGGAGGCAACCTACAACTACTTTTACGAAGGTGCTACTCTTTAGGGACAAGAGCAGCATTCAAACACCCGAAAACGACGACATGTGCCCGGTCAGCCATCACAGCATGGCGTTGTCCCATTGAACAGCCAGCATTGCAGCAAAGAGGCCAACAGCAGCCAAAGGCCCAGGGTCATGGTGTTGGACTCCCAGGGTCGGCGCTCCAGTGGGGGATTCCCATACCGCTGGTTCCAGCCTCTCATGCGGCCAGGGACAGGACTAGGGTCGTGCCATACTCTTCGTTCCAACTCCATTCTTCCGCTGGAAGCTTTTTTTACAGCCCACCAGCGCAGTTGAGCGGCAGCCATTGGCCAGCCATCCAGCAAGCATTGTTATTTCTGCAGCCCGTTAGCCAGGGCACCAGTTACCCGTCCCAAGACAGTGGGGAGCACGCAGCAACTGCAGCAGCGAGCCCTGCGCAGTTTGCCCAGGGTCGCACGGATCGTCGGGTCGGGTGCGTGTCGTTGCTGAAATTTGTCCCACACCGCACACTCAGTGGGGTTCGGGACAAGGCGCTCCGTCCAGTGGGCTGCTTGGAACTGGATGGGATGGATGGCAAACTCTTCCATAGATGGGGGGACTCGCAGAAGCGATCCTGTAGGCAGCCGCGTTGTTGAATGTGTTGATTGCTTGTTTGCTCGACTCGAAATCCCCTTGGCTTGATGGCGATTGCTTAGACTAAGGTTGCTTGCTGAGTGCGAAACAAAGATGGCTAAAAAGACCTAGAAGCTCCCGGCATTTGTTTGGTAAGTTTTGGCTTCAGCGCAGTGGTTCGCTGGAATGTGGCCCCGCCGCCGCCAGTTCGATCGAACGGTGCGCGCTAATCTTCTTTTCCGTCCATCCATCCATCTTCGCGGCGCCGTCTGGGGTCCTTGATTGCCCGAACCGGGGCCAGTGGCTGTAGGAGTACAATGACACCACGAAATGAACCGGCACGTCGGCGACACCGCATTCATCCGGGCCGACATGGGATCTTGTGGCGGTCTGGCGGGGGGAGGAGGGGGCAAGACGAATTATTGGATGGCGTCGAGGAGGCTTCTGTTTCCTCCCTTGAGTACAAGAGAGAGGTGTCACGACATGTATGTGTGGCAGAAGCAGCTAGGCTTTGTTGTTCGACATTCCCACAATCATTCGCTGCAGCAGCCAACAGTAGGACCCAGTCGCAATCCCAGCTTCGGTGGCAGTTTATCCAGGACCATCGCGCCGCGGCGAGGTTTTGCGGGGGTTGGCTTCGCGGCCGGTAAACGGTGGGGCGTCTGACACAAAGTCGGGAACGCTCGTGGCTCGTGGGCCAGTGGACGCCATCATCAAATGGGCCCGGGTGAGGTTATCGTGAGGCAGATGCGGGTCAGGGGAAAGGGGGGGTGTCCTTGAACCGAATCGGTGACCAGGGACAAGGTGTGAAAGTGTGTGGACTCTGGATAGCCTTTAGACGAAAGCTATTTGAAGGCAACAATGCCCGCCTACGCGCCGCCAGAGCCTTCGCGAACCTAAATCTTATAGTATTTAAGCTGCCATACTGCTCGTAACCTGAAATCGATCCTTCAACCAGGAACTGAAACCCAGTGACCAGCAGACTGGAGAGAATTTAGGGCCCAGAGCGCCAAAACAACTTCGAGCACAGTTCGAGGAGACCGCGGGAACTCTATAGCATACCAAAGCTTCCAGAGAGCTTCTTTGAAGGGAGTACAAACTTCAACAGTCATGGCTGTACGTATATCAAGCTTGGTACTGCCCAAAGATTGCTGCGCAAAAGAATAGCAATGATAACAAGTCTTATTGCAGGTTTCATACCCCCAGATTGTCCTCTTTGGGGACTCGCTGTTTCAGGCGGCCGCAGACCTGAACGACGGCTTCTGCTTCCAAGCTGCTATCCAAGCTCGTCAGTACCTCGTTCTTGTTATGTCTTTTTCCATGGTATTTTCGAATTATCGCGGCATTAGAGCAGCTTGAGCTGACCGGTGCAATTCCGCGCCAGAGGTTGTCCGTCGCTTTGATGTGATCAATCGCGGTCTCTCGGGCTACAATACCTCCAATGCCCTGAGCGTCCTGCCCAAGATCTTTTCGCCGCCGGGACCGGGAGTCCCGCGGATCGCTTACTTGGTAAGGTCGACGACACGGCAGCAGATAATGGCTTCAACACGCCTGGACAGGACTAACATGGGATACCAATGGCCAGTTCATCCTCCTCGGCGCCAATGATGCTGCGGTGCCGCTGCCCACGAACCACCAGCATGTGCCTCTAGACAAGTACAAGGCCAACCTGAAGCGTATCATCACCCATCCCATCTTCGCCGCGCACAAGCCCAAGATTTTCCTGATCACTCCGCCGCCGCTGGACCAGATCCGTATCACTGAGCTGGATAAGGCCAACGGGCACCCTGCCGCGACCCGGCAGACCAAGATCAGCGCCCAGTACTCGCAGGCTGTCCGCGACATCGCAGCTGAGAACCCTAATGTCACACTCATCGACCTATACAAGGCGCTCATGGACACCGCGATCGCGAAGACTCCTGGCTTCGACCCCAAGAAGGGCCCGGCGCTCGGCGACCCGGAAAGCGGGGTGCGTGGGTATCTGGAGCGCTTACTCCCTGACGGGCTGCACCTCAGCGCCGAGGCGTACCGGATTTTCTACGACCTTGTGAAGCCCCATCTTGGCTCAGAGTGGGCCGGCACCCGCGACGAGGAGCGCGCCGCCTACGTGCTGCCTGACTGGCGTGTTGCGCCCTGGCTGGAAGAGGACGAGTACCTCAAGACCTTCAATGGTTGAGTGAGGGCGGGTACGATGAGGGGAGGAATATAGAGGGCATCGGAGGGGAAGAAAAGGGAGCGAAGACATGGGAAAGTGACATTTCACTCGGCGAACACTGTGGGGTAGGTAATTCCAACGGTGTGGGGTTGGGACAGTGCGGGCACGGTCTTGATTTTTCTGGGCCGAATTAATACTCCCAACAGAGCAAACACTCTGAAACACTCTAAACATGATGAATTCCGGATCTTAACACTTCGCCTGATTCTGGACTTACACGAAGAGCAGCAGTACATACTGTGTACTTCAACGATTCGCTGCTCTAAAAGCGCAAGGTCAGCTTGCAGAGGGTCATAAGGCGGCCGGACTATTAGCACTGTAATGATGTAAGCCAGTCCCGCTTCCCCAAAGTCAGCTCAGGTCCACCCAGCCTTGCCCAGCTTCAACAACGAGGCAGCGAAGCACAGGCGCAAGGCAGGAAGCAGGGTAGGCAAATGGAAATCGAGTCTCATCTGCTGTGTGAACCAACCACTGACCACTAAGCATTCCCCTCTCTCCTGGCCACTGACCACCGCTCACGGCTTCTGCTGCACGGATTCCAACTTGAAGCAACCCCAGCAACGACCGACCGATCAGCCAACACTCCAAAACACAAAACTCAAAACTCGAAACCCCCAGCAAAAATAGCAGCCCGCGAAGCAAGGGATATTGGCCTGCGCATCTGCCACTGCAACTGCAACTGTAACGGCAACGGCAACGGCCCACGGCATCCGAGATCTCGATCAACGATTGACTGTGCCTTAAGCTCAAGGCTCAAGCATTTACGCCGACATCCCTCTTCACTGATCTCACTTCCCACGTTTCGTACACACCAGGTTATCGTCTAGGGTTTCATTCGCACGCGGGCCACACGGGTGCCTATCGACCGCCAGACTGCCAGACCAAGACCGTCGACCGAGCTCATCCCTCCCCCAAAGGACCCCAACATTCCCCTACCACACCCACAATCACTAACACTCGTCTCTGACGGCCGTGCCGCGCACATTCATCCGACATTCCACTTCCTGCCCGTTTTGCTTTCTCAACATTGTCTACATCGCTAGCTTGTTGACGCGTTCAGCTGTCGGCTTAATTTCATCCCATCCTTTACTGCTCTCTGTGGCTAAGCCATCTAGGCGCCCCAATCCCGAAAAAGACAGTGCCCGCGCCCTGCTTTGATACGATCCACAGAAGAGTTGCCCACCTCCCTCGCAACACTCAGCGTTTGCCCTACGCTTGCCGGACCCAGTAATTTACGAGCTTCTTCATCCGAGATCACACTTGTTGCTCTCTTGCTCTAGGTGCTTCTTGCCTTCTGCAAGTCCCGCCGATAGAAACAACCGACTCGATCACTGGCTTCAAAGTCCAGCGTCGATAATTCTCCCCGCGAATCCTTCCTCACGACGCTACTCCGTGCCCCTTCCACACGCCGATCTACCCACCAACAACCCACGCAAAGCCGTCGTGAAATTGAGTCGTTTGCCACACTGTGACGTTGAACGAGCCGCACCCATCCCGGCAGGCAGATCGCAGGACACGGGCGCGGGAGAGACAGCAACAGATCGCTGAAGGACCTGGGGGTCTTTGCGGGTGATGTGGGGGATGGTCGACCTCGACATCTGAGACAATCAAAGACTGAGGTTAGAAACGAGGGAACACGATACCCAACGACCCCTCTGGTAGGCGAGCCACGCTTCAGCGGTCTCATCCTGTCTCTTCTGTGTGCAGACCTTTAGCCATCGATCTGCTTCCAGGACAAAACGCTTCTTCCCTTCCCTCTCTCGCGCCCACCCCGGTTGCGCCGTTTGGCCCAAACGCATTGTCCTACAGAAAATTGTCCCGTTCAGTCCATTGGGGGATGGAGCCGGTCTTCAACATTGTCACCCGCGATGAGCTTCAAGATGTGCAAGTGGAGCTGAAGCGCCTCCACCATGTACAACAGCTGCATGGGGAGCGAATACGCATGTTAGAGAAACGCCAGGCTGATGACGCTGCCTTGAAGTCCGTCTGGAACTCGCCCTTCCCGAGTGTACTCGGCGGGACTCCGCAACATGGTCTGTAGCCCATTCCATTATTTGTCCTGTTGCGCACATTCCCTCTTTCCTCTTTTTTTTTTTTTGTTAGCACGCTAATCGAGGTCATTGCCACAGGACCGGTACACATTCCGTCAACCGAGCTGTTTGGCGACCTCGACGAGCAGGGTGATCACCTGCTCGGGACCCTGCGGCTCGAACCTGACGACGAGCCGATACGAAGGGGCGCAGCATCGCGGGCTAACAGCGTTCGGTTTGATGAGAGTGCCCTGCATGGTGCTAACTTTGGCCACGGCGGTCGTCACTCGGGTGATTTTGGCCCCGGCCGGCCGTCTAGCGGCATGGGTGGCCACCAGATGATGGAGCGCACGTATTCGCACAAGTCGGACGGCAGACACAGCTCGGCAGGTCACTCGGTCCACTCGGTGCATTCGGGCATCTCTGGGCGCACCAGTAGTCTTGGTCTTGACACAAATTTCATGATTGGCGGTCGCGAGGATGATTCACCACTGGATGTCCCCGAGCCGCCTGCCGTTTACTACATCTTAGGTTCGCCCCCGTCCATCATTCGGTGCTGGTTGACGACGAATTGGACGTCCGAGGGGCTGTTGTATGCCGTAGTGTGCACCGGATCCCAGAAGTCGACGGTTGAATACTCGCTGCTTAGAGAACTTGACCTGGTCAACCGAATCCACAGGGATGTGGACGGTATTCACAGGATCACGCTCCCTGTCTTTCTGGCCGAGGCCCGCGTCGTGCAGGCCAACTCTCGGTCGACAAGCCCTGCCCCGCAGCTTCCCAGCATCACGGCTTCCTTCGAGGTGACTGGCATGGATCAACCCGAGGTGCCGCCCGAGGCTAAGAAGGGCATCCGTGTCTGCATCGGCAGCCATACTCTCCGGATGCACAGCGCTGACATCCTGCTCTCCCAAAACCTCATGACTCTGTACGGGAGCGATCGCGATAAGCTTTCGATCCCATTTGTACGGCCTGAAGATGATTCTGTTTTTAAGTACCTCACAACAACCCACGTGCTGCCGAGCAAGCCTAAGCTGAATGCTGCCGCGCCGGAGTTTGTGACCAGTGAGAGGCTGGTGAAGGAGTTGGCAGCTCAGCCTGTTAGGGACCAGAGCGTATCTGAAGCTAGGCCAGTTGAGAATGGTATCGGAGAAAAGGCTTCATCGACGGCCGTAACTCCCCCGAGCCAGCCCTCCAAGCCTGTGGAATCTTCCAATACTACGTCTGAAAATGGCGAGAAACAGCAGCAGCAGCAGCCCGCCGAGTCCAGCCAGCCAGAGCCTGTCCAACCTTCGAAAAAGGAATCGTCCACCACGTCGACGACTACGACCATGGAACCCGTCCGTCGCGAAACTACCGTAGCAGCAGCCATCCGAACCCCTTGGCGTCAGACAGCCGCTGGCCTGGGTGATGGTACGCCTTTGAGTGGCTACCAGCCCGCTGCTCGGCCCCGCAGCATGAAGGTTCTTCGTCCCAACAAATCCAGCAGCTCGTCGACAACTCGGACTGGAGCGGCCTATGAGCCGGCGCCGCCCCCTCGGAATGGCGTCGCCAACAGTAACGGCCCAAATGACCAGCGTCGAAAGGGACAGGAAGGGGGTAACTCAGGCTCGGGTAACACCGTCACATGGGGCCCCAAGAGGAGCGTGAGCACCTCTGCGGTGGGTAATTTCGGCGGCAGCGGTGAGGTTGGCAAACAAGAGGGTTTGACGGCAGGAACGGTAGGGATAAAGATCCCTCCTGCGCCCAGAACGGCGAATAACCCGCTAGGAAGTGCAACGGCCTTCTCGTGGATAGCAACGCCGGCGCAGCCTAGCACAAAGGCGAATGGGTCAGCTGCTGCCGCGGAGTGATTTGCTTACATGTTTGGTAAGGAAGGTAGTGATTGTCCTTTTTACATACGAGGACATCTCAGCTTTCGACTCTTTCAGCAGCCTACCTTCTTATTCACTTGGTATTGCTTAATTTTGGGCTTACACGTTTGCCACCTGCTAAAGAGGGGCCGAAAAAAAAGGAATGATTAATGGGTACAGGTGGCTGAATGAATGAATGCAAACGGCTTTTGGGAGGTCGAGGAACAGCTTGGGGCCGAAACCCGCGGACGCCAGAGAAAGATGGGAAGAGAGGAAGACGAAAGCGAACTTCATCACTAAGTAGCAGACAAATGATTTGCAGACCAGAAGAATAACAAGAGCAGAAAAAAATGTGATAAATCCCACAACTTGCTAGCAGGCTTGCATTATTACATTCATCCCTCTACATCTCCCTACACCGAATCACAGGGTTAGATTTTACTCCCCAGCAAACCCTGCAACGCAGCCCTCGTATCCCGCATCGTCTCCTTCACCACATTCACCATCCCCTTAAACTCCGGAATCGCGGCATCGCCCATTAACTCGTAAAGCCAGCTCTCGCTGGAGGTAACAATAGCACCAGCCTGCCTCAACCTCTGTAGTGCAATGCCCACCTCCTCCTTATTCGAGCTGCTGACACCATCAGCAATGATGTACACCCTATGACCCGCCGCAAGCAGATCCAGTGCCGACTGCGTCACGCAAATGTGCGACTCGATGCCCACGATGGCAACCTCGGCCTTCTTGCCGCTGGAAAAGATGGGATGCGACGCGATCGCGGGAAGGTACATGCTGAAGCGGGTCTTGTCGAGGTCGGCCTGGAGCAGGCCCTTGTCGGCGGCTTGCTGAAGGAGGGGCTTGAGCTCGGAAACGGTGTCGCCTAGGCGGGTACGGTTTTGGGTTGTCACAAAGATGGGGATGGAGAGGTGAAGGGAGGAGAGGAGCATTTTGCGCGTTGTGAGGATCCTAGATGAAGGTTAATTTGATTTGGCAAGGGGAAGTGAGAGGGGTTTTTTTTGGGGGGGGAGGGGGGAAAGGGAAGAAGACGTACACTTTATCCAGCTCGAAAATGGTCGGCCGGAACTTCTCTTGGATGTCGCAGACACTGAGGGGACCGTTAGCTTAGTGACGAGTGTTGATTATGAACATGGTAGACTTACAAGAGAGCCGGGTTCTCTGCGACAGCGTTAGTGATCCAACTCTACTCACTCATGCCGAGGGGCAATAGAAAATAACATACTGAACCGGCGTTCAGGCACAGGAGCAGCCATTGTGGATGATGATGATGTTGTTGTTATTGTTGTAGTTGACACGAAGGACGAAGAACGGAATCCGCGAGACGAATGCAGCTGAGAACCAACGACAGCGCGATCAATTGCTCGCCCAGCGATTCTATACCCAGCAAGCAGACCACCCGAGAGTCTAAAAGGAACGGACATGGACCGGACCGAGGCAAGTAGGAGCTTATATCCGTACTCCAGGGCCAACAAGGAACATGGGAGATCAGTCACACGAGAAGCAGGTATCGTTTGGTGGGGGCTCCTAAGGAAGTCTGTACGTACAGTTCAGCACTAAGACAGTCCGAGATGTGCAGGCGGGGCAACGGATGACAGGCCGGGACGGCCCATATGTCGGGATTGGGGTAAGCGCTGCCGGCGGAGAGCCGACGGTACCCCCGGTACCCCGCATTTTGGATGTGGCGAACCGAGCTACAACTGAGGAGAGTGGGACTGTCGTGTTAGTGATCGGAGCGAGAACGTATAATTGTTGAGCACGTACGTATGCCATATCTGGAATCAGGACAGTGAGGTTCGCGATATTGAGGGGATAAAGACAATTATTATAATTACAAAATCGGAACAGTCTTCAAAAGGCTTAAAAGCTAAGCCTTTTTATTGCTCGTACTGCCCTCTTAATCCCTAAGCTCAATCTTCCTAACCTTCGCTCTCTGCAACCACTCCAAGTTCTCCTCAACAGTATCTTTCCGGATCCTATACAACTCATCTAAGAACGCCGGCAAGAACGTTCCCGGCCCCTTGACATCGGCTCTCTCGGCCGCTAGCTCCGCAGCAATCTCAAAGTGCAATAACGCCGCGATGACGTGCACAATCCTGCCATACGTCGTCCTCTTTGCAACAGCCGCCGAGATCGCCGTACCCAGCGTGCAACCCGTGCCCGTAACCAAGCCCAAGTACGGATGACCATTTTCCACAGCGTACGTGTTGATCCCGTCGCTGACATAGTCCGTCTTGCCGGTCATGACGACGACGTTCTTCTCGCGCTTGGCGAGCGCCCGGACGAGGGTCGCTTTCGCGGTCTCGTCGAGAGTGCTGGTGCTGTCGACGCCGCGCTGCTGCACGTCGCTGTCGCCGAAGACGGTGCGAATCTCGCCTTCATTGCCTTTGATGACGTCGAAGTAGCATTCGTGCAGGAGGGTCTTGACGGCCTGACGCCGGATGGTGGTTGCTCCGGCGCTGAGAGGGGGGTTAGTAACGTAGAGATGGTCGATGGGGATGGTAGACGTACCCAACGGGATCAAAGATGACGGGACGATCGACAGCATTGTATGCCCTGACGGCCTTGATGTAGTTGGCCAGGGCATCGTCGTCGACAGTGCCCATGTTGATGACCAACGAGCCGCCCAGCTTGCTCAGATCAGCGGCTTCGTCGCCGCAATTGGACATGATGGGCGAGGCGCCGATGGCCAGAGCAACATTGGCGGCAAAATTTTGCACAACCTGCTCAGTGTTAACCCTGTTCGCCGTTAACGACACATCGCAAGGGGGCATACAAGGTTAGTCATGTTATGCGAAAGCGGCGTGTTGGCATCAACCGCAGTAATCACACTTGGCACCTCAGCGAGCACCTTCTCCGTTGTATCAGCGATGTACGAGGGCACGTCCACGCCATAGGGTGGCACGCTCGTCATCTTCTCCTTCAGCCGCTTTGCAGCTGCTTGCGGATCCGGGGCGGCCATGATGGCGCTGACGACTGCCACGCCCTTGAGGAAGATCCGATCACGGTCGACGGCGGACTGGTAGACGATGCGATGCACGTTGGACTCATTGATGCCGCCGATACCGACGCAGTCGACTGGATGCCCAGCCTTGTGGAGGGCTGAAAGAATCCGGGCAACACCCGCGGTGCCGATGATGTGCTTGGTATCCTTCTTGCTGTTTGGGTGGGAAGGCAGGGTTTAGTAATGGTGCTGTTGAACATGCAAAGCGTCTTCTTACGTTGAAGTGGCATATATAGTGCCAATGCCTAGATAATTGGCACCATCCTTTGCGGCCTTGATGGCCTCCTCCACAGTGCTCACTGTGACACCGATGATGGCCCAGGGACCCAGCAGCCTCCTGGCCTCGTGAATGTCTGGCCCGGTATGTCAGTTGAGAGAGATTCCTGTTGCTTAATCCTGCAGTCCGCAACTCACCCATATCATCCTGTCCAATATGAACACCTTCGCAGTTTACAGCCAGGGCGACATCAATGCGGTCGTTGATGAGCAGCGGCACATCATATTTCTTGGTGATGGCATGTAAACGGCGAGCCTTCTCAATAAATTCGCGCGTGTCACAGTTCTTCTCACGCAGCTGGACGATGGTGACGCCACCTTTGATGGCCTGCTCGACGACGTCGCAGAGGTCTCTATCGCCCAGGATTTGGGGGCTCGAGTCTGTAACCAGGTATAGCGTGTAGTTGAGGTCGGCATCGGTATGGCTTTTCCTCCACTCTCCGCTTAAGCCAAACCCAGTTGACAATACCCCGAATTCTGTCCCCATTGCTGATGTTCGTATGTTGAGCCGTGTGTTGAGTGTTGATGTTTGGGGTCAGAGAAAATTCAGATATCCAACTGGATTGAACAGAGCTGGATGAGATGCGGGCAGAGACCGAGTCTTTTAAATTGGCCCAAGGTCAGAAGAAAAAACAAAGAAATAGAGCAGTTGATGTCCAATGACGAGAGGTTAAAAACGGTTGCCTTAAAATACTACATGCTACCCATCTCCCGAACCTGGGGAGTTGCTTAAAAAGTGGGGCAACGTCGGTGAATTGGAAGAGTTTCATTGGATGTCGTCAACTTCATCCTGCTCTCTTCACGTTTCATATCACAACTTCAAGCTTTATGTTTGAGAAACTTAGTAACCGGCAGACTAAGAGACTCCCTTCTCAAGGTAGCTACGTGATGGTTCGGTTACCAGGCAACCGAATCACAACTCCAACATCATCTCTTGGTTTAGATGGTGAATATCATAGTTCCACACATACCCTATGCTCTCATGGAAGATAGGAAGGAGATGCGATCAAAGGAGCTTTTTTGTTGTATCACAGTAAGCTCGGATGAAATCTCAAAACCCAGTTTTGGCCAAAAAAAAAGTTCTTGGCAAAAGATACAAGAGACGGTTGCCTTCATTTGGGGTCTTTGACGTTTCCACAGAAACCAGCGAGTTGGGCTGCGCTGCGCTGCTGCACTGCAGTCTTTGAGTTGTTGGGAACTTTCCCCCGAAGATCCAACTTGCAAACTCCTGAAGCACGCCGACATTCTCGATGTTGTCGCATTGTTTAGGCAACACTATTTATTCACCGCCCGACGCCTAAAACCTAGAAGTCACCTCGATAACGACCGTACCCCCTTGATGTTACCCCTCACCTCACCACCCGGACCCCGATCCCTCCCTTGCCCAGGAGACCACTTCCTGGTTTCCAACCAGTTCTCAACCCTTAATATCCTCAACCAGGCAGTATTAAGAAAGCCGTGATCGACATCGCCGCAACCGACCCCAACACTATCCCATCCGCTGACACAGTCGCCTCAGTTCGTTGACAGTTCCTCGTATTATGCGACACAAAGGCCTGCACCGCAACCGGCTTCTTCTCCTCGAGACCCGACACCCGAATGTTGACATTTGCAGTACTCCCCCTCCCACTCGAACTAATCGCGATAACAGCAATCGTCCCATCCACATTCTTAAACGCCGCCGTCCTTAGTCCCGACGTCGTGACTCGGATCGCCCCCGGCCTAAGATACCGCAACCAGTTCGCAAACGTCGACAATCGCCGGGTTATTTCGTACGTATTAATCGCGTTGTCCACCTTGATCAGCTTCTCGTTGGTGTACGGGTTCGGCCATTGCACGTCCTCCCACCAGAGGTAGGCCGAGACGTTCCAGTTGACCAGGGCCGTGTAGATGTTGTTAGCCCAGGTGATACCCTCCCCGGCGCCGCCGTTGGAGTACCAAGCTGTTGTTCAGGTTCCTTGGAGGTCGCATTGTCCGGAGAGCCAGACGGGCGGGTTGGCGGTCATTGGGGCAAAGGGAGAGTCGGTGTAGAGGTGGGAGGTTACCGCGCGGAGGTATTGTTCTGCGCCGCCGGATCGGATCGCGTTGTGCATGTTGACCTGGTTTTGCCGGCCCATCGAGTTGCAGCAGGTGATCCCGACCTGGGAGGTTAAACCCTCGCGCTCGAATGTTGTGTGCGGGATTTTGAAGAAGTCGACGGCCTGCTGGCCGTTGGCTTGCATTCTTGCGTAGTTGGCGCTGTAGTCTGGTTCGTTAAGGAAGCCGAGATGTGTGATATTCATGCCCTCCTGCATGTAGAGCTTGATATATGCCGCGAGGCGCGAGGCAGTTGGCATAGGCCTGGCGCTAGTCACCGCTAACACAGGATGCACCGGGAAGACCGCATAGAGTGCCTCCATTGGTGTCTCGGCCGTTGGTTTTCATGTAGCCGGGGGCACTCCAAGCATCTGCAGCCGTCAACCTCCATTGTCTCCTCTCCTTCAGGAGCTGGGGATATACTCGCATAGATATAGTCTTCACGCTATACAACTACACCGCCTGCTGCGACACCCAAAGCTGTCCGCTATCCTTCCCGTCCCACACGTACTGCGGCTGAGCGTTAGGTCCTCCGGGGTTATCCGGAGCAATAGTGTTCATATAATCCGAGTTCGAGTTCGGCGTAGAGCCGATTCCATTCCGCAGGATGGGGAAGCCTGCCCCTGTTGTCCGGTTGAACAACAGATCCAGCAGCTCGCGCTGCTTAGTCTTATCGGAGAGGTTGGTGATGAGGTTTGCTCGCTGGCAGGCGAGGCTAAAGCCGAAGCCATCGATGCGTTGGCATGTGCGGGTAAGGTACACTGTGATGGTGCTAGCTTGTCACGGAGCGAGCGACAGGGTCGAGTCCTCTGCTGCCGCTGTGAGGAGGACTGTAAGATGCTTCATCTGGCTTGTATTGGGAGAATTCCGGCCGAGTTTTGTCTGTGGCAATCCTTTGAGAAGATTGAGGATCTGCTTTGGACTACTGATAGTGTACAAGACAAGTGGCTCCTATACATAGCAGGTGGTTTACACGTTCCCTCTCTTAGCCGAAAGCATCCTGCACCAACTCCAGATTCTCCTCTAGTCAATATTACAGGGAGTGGTTACTTTGAATTTCCTTTGCCCGAACATCTCGTGATACAGTTTGTACGGTGCCCTGAAGCGGACTATTTCATGTATGGAGTTAAGGTCAAGCAAGTACCTCAAAGTGTGAGTTTTAGACACTGACTGTGTGCTCTGTCTAGGAGTCGACCAGTAAAGTGTCACTCTGGAATTATCCAGACATATTGGTAGATTCCAGAATTACAAGAACCGGATGCACTTTGTTGTACCATAATATTCGAAGGTTGTATAAGAGCAGATTATATGAGGGCATTGTGCCGGTAAATATCTGTCCATGAGGTCTGTACATTCATCAAACTTTAGCCAGCTCGGAATAAAATCAAGAACCTGAGGAATGCCCGATGCAAGCTATATCTAGCACTGAGGTCTCGGAAATAAAACTAATGAGCATTCATATCACATGCGCTTTAACTACAAGGGAACATGATCCTATTTTCTGTGCTCTCCTAGGTATATCTTGATACTACCCTTGATGTCGAGCGAGTCCTTTCAGAACTTTTTTTTTCCCAATCAACAGCACTCTTTGAGCCAGAATCCCCAGGCCTTTTTGTCTTTCTTTTCTTTTACATCCCAGATCTACAAATTATGCCAACAAAAAAGCCACCCTCCAATAAACAAACAGAATATCAGAAGAGCAAACTCAAACTGGAATAGTTTAACAGCTTAGATGGACAGCTGGGCAGTCTCAGCCTTGTCCAGGGCATCCTTGTACTTGGCCAGCTTCTCGGCAACCTCGCCGTTGCAGTAGTCCTCGACAATCTTGGGACAATTGCCGATGAACAGCTTGGGGTCGAGGAGGTTGTCGATCTCGTCCCAGACAGGCTACATGGTGTTAAGTATGAGATTGATGAATAGCTATAAGGAACTGGTATGAAACTCACCTTGAAGAACTCGGTGCGCTTAATGCGCTCGAGCAGGTCGTTCTTGCCGCCCTGCTGCTTGACGACGTCGCTGGCTTGGTGGGACTACATGTTGTTAGTACACCTGCTGTAATAAGATCACCAAGGAACGAACATACCAGAACGCGGATTTCCTCGTGAGCATCCTGGCGGGAAATGCCGTGGGTGGAGAGCTTCATGAGGATAGACTCGGTGGCCACTGTTGACAAAGCCGTTAGCATCAGATCATTGAACTCAACAAAAAAAAAAACAAAAAACACTGGTCGTGATATGGAAACATACTGAAAGGAAGCTCCTGGTCAATGTGAGCGCGGATGACGTTGGGGTAGACAACGAGGCCGTTGGTCACGTTGTCGAGGGCCAGGAGGATGGAGTCGGCCAGAAGGAACTGAAGGACTGTTAGTATGCTGATGAGAGGCATCTGAGAACGCATCGACTCACCATCTCAGGAATGTCCATACGACGGATAGCGCCTGTTTGTGGTCAGTAAACCAGAATCATCAGCTCGGGGCTATTTGGAGGGAGAAAAGGGGTTAGTTCAGGGGTTATGGTTAGAGGGGGAAACTGACTGTCATCAAGACTAGACATTTTGTTAGCATAAATCCGCAAGAACCATTCAAAGGATGTGACTTACGTTCTCTCGAACCACTGAGTCTCGAAAGTAGCAGTGAAGTCGGCCGGCAGACGGGCGAGCTTGCGGCCCAGGGCAGTGATGCGCTCTGAGCGCATGGGATTGCGCTGACCAATGTGTTAGTAGCTTCGACTCACTAGTACCGAATGCAAGATCCATACCTTGTAGGCCATGGCCGAGCTACCAATCTGGGTCTTTTCGAAGGGTTCCTCGATCTCCTTCAAGTTGGCGAGGTGGCGGATGTCCGAGCAGATACGGGCAGCAGTGGCACCAAGAGCGCAGACGGCGTTGGCAACACGGAGGTCGACCTATCCTCATTAGCGAATGTCGTTGGATATGCGGCTGACGCAGAAGATGCTAACCTTGCGAGTGTAGGTCTGGGTAGAAATGGGGTAGCACGAAGGGAAGCCGGCCTTCTTGCAAAGGATCTATAGCGTTGTCAGCCCACTTGCTCCTAGACTTCAACAACACCATCTGAGTCTACCTCATTCAGCTGAGTAATCTTGCTGGCATCGCCCTTGAACAGCTCAAGGAAAGTAGCCTGAGAGCCGGTAGTGCCCTGAGCACCACGGAAGCGGAGCCTGTCACGAGCAGTCTCAATGTCCTCAAGGTCCATCATTAGCTCCTGGATCCATTGGCAAGCACGCTTGCCTGTTTGATATCGTTAGAACCAGATACTTTGTAGTGAGCTTTTCAAGCGTGCTTGTCCGTACCAACAGTGATGAGCTGGGCCTACAAATATGTCAGTTGATGAACAAGCTATACAGAGAACGTGGAGTTTTCTTACGGGCTGGTAGTGAGTGAAGCCAAGGGTGGGCATGTCCTTGTACTTGAGGGCGAACTCCTGCAGGTTCTTGATGACTTTAGCCAGCTTGGGCAGGATGAGGTCCAGAGCGCGTTTCTGGAAGATCAGGTCGGCGTTGTCGGTGACTTGACGGGGTTAGCATTCTGATACTCCCTAGAGGAGGAGCATAGGAGCAGTAAAGCTCACCATAGCAGCTGGTAGCCTATCGTGCTGTCAGAGGAAGACGTCGATATCAAAAACAACTGGGCCATCCCAGTGAAGTAGGGGTAAAGACAGGTTGTTTGGGGTCACTTACACCAAGGTGGATGTGGCCGGCAGCCGCGGGCGCATCCTAACAGAGCACATACGTTACTACTGCTCCTCTCAATGCATTGAAGAATATCTTAAAAGCTGCTTCATGAGCCATTTTGAAGCTCATACCTCACCAAAGGCATGCACATGAGCCATGACATCGTGCTATATGTTCCCTTGTCAGCTAACGTCTTCACTAAACAGTCAAATCAGTGCTGGGGAAACTTACCCTGAACTTAGCCTCATACTCCCTCGCAACAGCAAATGCCTTGTCCGAGACAACGACGTTGGCGCGCATCTGCTCGATAGCCTCATCGGGGATGGGCAGACCCAGCTCTTTCTCGGCCTCAGCTAACCAGACCCAGAGCTGACGCCAGGTGCTGGCGCGCTCGCGGGCCGAGAAGATGGTCATCATTTCTTGCGATGCATACCTCGTACTGAGGGGGGTCTACACATGGGTTGTCAGAACACACATGTTGTGATCAACAAATGAGATATGATGTCCTGCTGGGACTTTTCTGTGGAGTTTCGAAGCTTTCGAAGCCATTGAAAAGGACGAGGACAGTCAATTAAAATCGTACCTGGTACTTGTCGTAGCTTGACATCTTGGCGGTTATTTTGTACGAATATTTGGATTAAATCCGTAGATGTTGTCTAGGTCAAAGCCGGTGGTAGTGTTGTGAGGATAGGCCCTGGCGGTGGGAGTCTTCCAAGATTGCGGGGGAGGGGTCAAAAAGTTTCCCGCGACGATTGACAGGGGTAGGTGGGGGGGGTTCCTGGGTGACGGGTCCAAGTTAAGGTCACACGCACGACAATGAACAACCTTCAACAAACTTCAAAGTGGTTTGTGAAGTGTTTTTTTTTGTTGTTGTTGTCGTTGTTGAAAAATAGGATTGTATTCAACAATGCTTTGTTATAGATTTCCAAGGAAACCACCAACACTCACTACAGCCCCCGACACATCCAACTTCCTATTGCAGACCTGAAAATACTGACCATCATACCACCCATGAACATGGCTGTCATTTGGTAACATGAAATTTAAGGGTTTTCCCCAGGCAAAATTGCCATAGCATGTTGGAGCTGAACTTAGCTGAGGCTCAAAGCTTGCATGCAGTGCTGCTTGTCTGTAACTTTCGCCTGACCTGGGCCGTAAAATCCCGCGGAGACAGCGCCGAAAATCGGCCTGCCGGTTCGACCTTTTCCGATTGCCACCTCTTGGTTTTCTTTCTTTCTTTCTATTTCTTTTCCAAAGCGGAAGATGAATCGAGCCCACTGAAAATATTCTATTTAAGATTTTACACGACCTTCTAATCAAGAAATATCTCGCTCGTTGAGACGACAGAGCCTGTTTCAACCGCTTTTATCCGGGGTTAAGACTCTTGCTGTACGGTCATAACTCATCATACATGATGATTACGGGCTTCCTTACAGAATGATTACACTCAGGGAGCGCTTCGAATCATACGTCACGCACTTCACTCAAGCTAAACCAAGGGATGGACGGACATTGTTTATGGCATCTCAGGGCCTCTCAATTCGAGAAGGCCAGCCAGAAATATACTTCTTTATTGCATTCAAACAAATATGCTGATGCTTTTTTTTTTTAATAAACCAAAGAAGACTTGCACTCTCCTTTTACTTCCTGCCCATCCGTAGGCAGAAGCGAAGAGACAGTCAAACGAATCGAAGATTCACGTGTGCTGTGACTGCGTACCCTTGATAGGCATAGGATCAATCAATAGCCATATCCCCTCCAAGTCGAGGCCGCTCGCTCCAACGAGCGTCCTTATTACGTCCTGCGGCGGCTACCAGCGACAAGAAAAAAAATCCACCAAAAGAGAACCCAACCAGGACGGGTCGGCTGAGCGCATCCCCAGCGGCCACGACGACGATCAATCCGACTCAGAAGCCGGTAAAGAAAGCCGCTTAAGCCGAAACACTAGCAGCCATCAGACCCCTAGCCTCACGCTCAAGAAGGCGCTCTGTCACGCCAGGGACAGCCAGCCCGTTGGTGGGTTCAGCAACTGGGGCAGCAGCCGACTCAGCCATGATCTCGCGCAGGATATCGCGGGTAGCGTCCGCAATGCCGAGCTGCTCATCCGTCCACAGAGGCTGAGGCTCAACAACGCCAGGCTCACCAACGCCAATGAAACCGCCCTCAGCAGCCCAGTCGGAAGTGCGCTTGATGCCCAGCTCGGTCCAGATGTTATCAATCGCGCGGACGAGCTCGTCACGGAACTCCTTGGTGTGACCGGGGGTCGGGGTAACGCGCAGACGCTCCTGGCCGACGGGAACGGTCGGGTAGTTGATGCTCTGGACATAGATGCCGTACTCATGCAGTAGCTTGTCAGAGGCGAGCTTCGCCAGCTCGGCGTTGCCGACCAGGATGGGCACAATGTGCGAGGGATTCGGGATGACGGGGATGTCGCGCTGGGTGAGGGCTTCCTTGACGGCGCGGGTGTGCAGCTGCTGCAGGCGGCGCTCAGTAGGAGAACGCATCTGGTACTCGATAGCGGTGCGGGCACCGGCCATGACGGCAGGCGGCAGGGAGGTGGTGAAGATGAATCCAGGGGCCAGCGAGCGGATCGTGTCGACCAGCTTGGCGCTGCCGGCAATGTAGCCACCGACGCAGCCATAGGCCTTGCCGAGGGTAGCGGTGATGATGTCAACGCGGTCCATGATGGTACCGCTATGACGGCCCTGTAAGTGGGCCTCAAAATCGAGGTGTTCGGCCACACCAGCGCCGTGAGGGCCGTACATGCCGACAGCGTGCACCTCATCGAGGAAAGTGATGGCGCCGTACTTCTCAGCCAGGTCGCAGATCTTCTCGATCGGGCCAATCGAGCCGCACATGCTGTAGACGGACTCGAAGGCAATGATCTTGGGAATGTGCAGGGGCAGCGAGGCCAGCTTCTGCTCCAGATCCTCAACATCGTTGTGCTTGAAGATAATCTTACGAGCGCCCGAGTGACGGATGCCCTGGATCATGGACGCATGGTTCAGCGCGTCTGAGAGAATCACGCAGTCGGGCAGTTTGCTGCCGAGAGTCGCGAGGGTAGCGTCGTTGGCCACATAACAAGAGCTGAAGACCAGAGCAGCCTCCTTGTGGTGAAGACGGGCGATGGTCGCCTCCAGCTCAACAGCGTGCTTATTGTGGCCCGAAATGTTGCGGGTACCGCCTGCGCCGGCGCCGTACTCGTCCAGTGTCTCATGCATGGCCTTGAGAACCTCCGGGTTGCGACCCATGCCCAGGTAGTCATTGGCACACCAAACTGTCACCTTTTGGTCCTTGGTGGCCATGTGGGCGCGGGGGAACTCTTTAGCCAGGCGGTTGATGTTATTGAAATAGCGGTACGACTTGTCCTTATGCTTCTTGTCCAGCTCAGCAGTATAGAAGGCCTCATAGTCGAACTTGGTGGTCGGATGGGTCACGGGAGGGTTCACGCGTGTGGCAGTGGCCGTGTTCGTAGAGGCGGTAGCAGGCTGCTGCTTCGTCGGAGACCGGGGAGGGATAGGAACTGGTAGATGAGATGTCAGTCAGTCATTCTCCCTTAAGAACTGTTATCGGCGACACAATATACTCACCCTGCTCTCGGAATAGCGTGCCCTCAACAGCCTGCGCATCCTGCGAGCGGCTTGTATGCAGCTTCGCCTTGCCGGACTTGCCGCTGTGGTTGGCATGGCGGGCGCCGGAGGTCGAGTGAGAGGGCGAAAGAGTCGCCATGCCGGCCTTAGCAGCAACGGAGCCGTAGATACGGGCCGACTGGATGGCCATGGCCTTGCCCATGACGGGGCAGCGGCGGGCAAGTACCTGCAGCTTTGACATGGTACCGCCACATGGCGAGAGAGCGCCGGCCTGCGCGGCGGGGGCCACGGCGGTTGACATGGCGCGGAGCCCCGCGGCCGTGGCCTTCTTCATGAAAGGGCACATGGCCTTGGATTGGCGCAGAACTGAGTCCATGGCGGGCAGCTTTGCTGTAGAATACGGTTTTCGTTGGTCTTGCAGGGGCGGGGAGAAGCACAGAAATTTTCCACGAGTTTTCTGTGACACGACACCAAAATGGATAAACTGTGCGACGAAGGAAAAAAAAAAAAAAGAGGAACAGGCAAAGTCGACACGGACGGCAGACGAGACCTCAGCCCAATGCAGCACGCAGGAGGGGAAGAGAAGCGCTGGCACACACAGGCAAAGGGACGAGAGCACACGATGCCAATTGACACTTTTTTGTGATTTTTGTTGAGTCGGGTGGGAAAAAAAGGGGGAGAGGAGGAGGAAAAGAGTCAGAAAGTCAGAAGCAGCCCAGAAGGTCGGCGAACGGCGGACGGAAACCTTCACACGATTCCTGCAGAGTCGGTGGGTCCCCCTGGACTTTCCACCCAAGTCGAGGCCAATCGAGTCCCTCGCTGCCCTTCCTTGGTCTCGGAGTCTCGGTATCTGCCCGTGCTTCGGTGCTGCAGTCCACCGCAGTGCCCACAGCTGCCCACTGTTCGCTGTTTTTCGCTTCAATGGGATCCCGCACAATTTACCCCCTTTGTGCAATCTCTTTCACGCCATTGGCTCAACATCCAGTGGGTTCCCCCCCACCATAACAGGTAACAGGTACATCCCGCGCTGCTGCTGCCCGCACACAAGCCGGCCACCGGACCTTGCGCCGCTTGGTACCGGAGACTTCCCGTGAGGCTCGCCTGCATCGGTCCGCAGCGGACTTGACTGGAGGACGACGTCGGCGCTGCCTCGGCAGACGATGATGGATGTGCTGCTTGAAGTCATCCATTCGTCTCTTGTCCTTCGATCGTTGGGGCAGGGCAAAGAGCTTCAAAACAGGGAATGGACCCTTTAAGCAAGACTAGTGACGATGATGATAAGCTTACATTCGTGAAAAGGACAGCTTTCCTGCTCCTATCTTTACATTGCATACACACTGCATATCCCACCTACCCCTCCTCTATGGGGTTACCCGCCTACAAATCCGATCCGATGTGCTCGCATCATGGAGCACGTGAGGGGAAATGCCACTTCACCCCCGCCAAAAACAAGAACTGCTACAATCGAGTGTATTTACCCGACAGACATGATCCCGACCAATGTACAACTTATACAGTTGCAAAGAGAGAGAGGGAGGGGGGGGGGTAAGAGGTCCATCTCCGAGCTTCCAGAGTAAGAAGCATATCCGCCCAGCAATATCAGATAACCATTTTTCTTCTTGTTAAACCTCTTTTTTTCCATTCCCTCCCGCTCTCCAACAAACTAGCATCGTAATGTCCCATCCGAAAAGCAGCAACGTTAGACAACTATGTAATCGTCCTTCCATTTTGTCTACCCGGTAGACTGCCATGACCGCCGCCAGTAACGCCGTGTTACTCCATGTCCCTCGAATGATGACCTCGAACCTCCCGGGGTATCTTAGACATACACGCAGAGAAAAGAATAGTAAAGTAAAAGAGAAAAGCCCAGAATGCTGTCGAACTGAGAAGAGAGTAAAGAAATTTGCCTTAACCTCCGCGAAGGGGAAGGGGCAGTACATGACCCACAGGTAAAGTAAGGAAATAAATATACGATGACGCAAAGGAAAACCGAAAGAACGAGAACCCGAAACGCAGCTCCAGAAAAAAAAACGCCCCGTAGAAGAGGGCCCCAGTCAAAGACGAAGTCCAGCACGCCACGCACAGTGATCATAATCAATCACTGTCAGATATGACTTGTGGCTCATCGGCTGAATCGCCAGGTCGCACCGCCTTAGCTGACGTATTTGTAGCAGAGAACGGTGTCGGCGTCGACGGAAGCTTCTTAGGCAGCGGTTGCGACTGAGACGTGACCGACTGGCGAAGGCGTTGTTGCACTCGAGAAATCTGCTGCGAAGACAACACAAACGACGATGACTGCTGGGGTTGTGGTTGTGACTGGCGCTGCGATTGTGACTCAGAGTCATCCCCAATGAACCGAAGCAACGCGCGCTGGCTGCCCCTGCTGAAACTCTCCCGACGACGATGGTCTTGTTGCCTTGGTGACGAGTTCGGTCCACTACCGGCGATCGCACCCGAGGACTCAACATGGTTGCGAAGTAACTGTTGTTCCGGAAACTTGGTGTTAGCTCAGTTCAGTCTCCCCGATGAAAGAGTTCACAAAATAACAGGTGGTTTTTTGTTGCTGGTCTCAAACAAAACCAGCTGCTATGAATAGTGTCGTCGAAGGGGGCGGTTGCATACTTTGATGTTGAACTGTGAAGTCCAGATGAGGTTCTTGAAGGCTCCCTCAGGCAGTGCCTTGAGGTAATCAATCATTTGATTGGTCTCGGCCCGTGTCATCTCGACCAGGTGGGAAACGTCGAAGTATCCAGAGAGCATGGCCTCTGCAAATCGAGGTTCGCGCGATGCTGCCCCCAGGCATTGAAGCTTGTCCAAGAAAGGCAGCTGTCCCGTGTTTCTCAGGCTAAGCATGTGGACGATTCTGTTGATGAGGCCTTCAGGAGTGCAACGAACATGCCGACCTTCTCGGAAGACTGTTTTGTGAACCCTGATAAGCGGCTCGTAGTCGAACCGCCACTGCGGCTGGGGCGAGGAAGCATTCTGGGCAGCAGTGCTAATGGCCGACGGAGGGGAGATGGGTGAGCCCTTGTAATGAGTCCCTGCAGCAAGAATAGGCTGCAGGGATTGTTGACCCAAAGCAACATTTGAGTCGCTTTGTGCTGGTGTTAGAACCGGTGCTGGCATGAGACCTACTGTTGTCGGGCTAGAGGCGGCGGTTGCTGGAGCAATGGAAGGCTGGATGGCGCTGTTAGTGATACCTGGGCCCGACACGACGGGCGTCAGGAAAGGGTTCGGCGGCGGAAGAATTGCTGGTGGAATGTTGTTGCTCAGCGGCGGGTTGACCGACGTGGTGTTGCTGACCGGCGGGGGGAACGCTGGTGCCCCGGACAGGGGGGTTGTAGTACCGAGAGGAGGAGACAGCCCCGAAGTCACCGAGAGAGCTGGGAGCGCTGATGGGCCGGCGCCCACATGGACGAACGTCGTAGACCATGGGAGTGGCGTAGTTGCTGGTTGAGTAGCTGGGAACAGTTAGTTGGTTGAATTGTTGGTGCACAAATTTTTGCTGCTGCATCATGAACTCCTGCTGACCAAATGTCTCGTTGAACGACGTTGACTGGACCAAGGGAAGCTCATTTAACGGAATCTCTTGCTGCTGGTGTGCGATGACTGCATTCGCAACCGCTAAGTTTGGCACCGGCAAGCACCCTAATGTGTTCGCGTGTCCGACGCTGCTGGCTTGAGTTGCCACCGTCGGAGCGCCTAGAGGGGAGCCTTGTCGCACTTGCGCTGGATTGCGGGAGGGCGACTGAAAACTCTGCCTCGCTTGAGGCAGTCGTTTCTCCCGCAGGTGATCAGGTACTTGGATCCTAACCTTGAATTTGCCTTGATTGCCTTTGCTGGTAGATTGCTTGCTGGACTTGCTGTTAGACTCACCACTTGCGGTAGCTGAAGCCTGTTGCCTGAAAGGCGGCGGCACCATGCCTAGGTTGATCCTCGCCTGCCAGAGTCGTTCATGTTCGAGGCGCTTCCACTCTTCAGGATTCTCGATCCTCAGCCGTTCCATGCGGACGCTTTGTTCCACCTCCTGCTGATCTTCAGCCGACAGCTCGTACGTCTCCTCCTTTTCGAACGTCTCCGTAGACGTAACCTTCTTGACCAAATGGCCAACTACCTCATCCTTGAGGATAGCGTCCAGCACCAAGTCGTGCCCCAACGCGCCGGATAGATCTTCCTGCTCGGGAACCTTGGGCGGCGCAAAGTACGCCCTGGTGTTTCGATTGCTCCGAGGATCAGGATTTTTGTCATCCACGACCCGTTGTGCCAGCTGCGACTTGAAAATCGCGTTGTTATGAATAATGTCCTCGAAGGTTCCACCGATTGTTAGCCAGTAAACGTATACTGGCTTTGTCTGGCCCAGTCGGTACGCGCGGCCGATGGCCTGTTGCTCGTTGGCGGGAGTGTACTTGAAGTCGAAGATTACCACCCGATTGGCGCCGTAAATATTGAGGCCTTCACCCCCTGCTCTAGTCGAAATCAAGTACACCATAGAGTTCGGGTCGGTGTTAAACCTTTTGACATTTTCCTGTCGCTTGGAACGGTCGGTGCTCCCATCAAGCCGCTGGAATTCAATCTTCTTCCTCTTCATAATGTTTTCGATGAAGTCGAGCGTAGGAATGCTCTGAGAGAAGACAAGCACCTTGTCGCCCACTTTCTTGCATTCGTCCAGGATCCGAAGAAGCACCAGGATTTTGTTGGATTTGTCATAGTCCTCAATATCGCGGATCGCTACCTTTGCGAGCATGTTGCTCAAGACTTCGCTCGGAGGTTCGGGCACAATTAATGCCTTCTCTTCGTCTTCATCATCCCCTCTGGAGGAATCACCAACCTTCTCGTTCTGTTTCAACTTATCGCTCGCCTTCTTCTTCTGCTCTTCCAACCAGGTTTTGAAGACGAATGGGTGGGCCAGAATCAGGCTCAGTCTCGCCACGAGGCTCCAAGCCTTTGCGAGGACGTTGCCTTTCATTGTGTCCGAGAAATCAGCATGCACAACCCAGCCAAGGTATTCTTCGTAGAGTTTCATCTGGACTGCGGTGAGTGGCAGAGTAATGATGAACTCCTTTTTGGTAGGGAGTTCGTTGCGAATGACTTCGATATCTCTCCTGTGGACTTTGGGCTCCACTGTCTTCTTCAAAACCTGGAGCATCTTCCTGGCTTTTCTCTTCTGAGCATCACTGCTGTCGGCGTAGAGACCTTCCTTGATCGGGATTGAGAACCGGTCCTGGAACTCCCTCGAATCGCCAAGGTAGTTAGGAGCCACCCAGTTGATCATCGCATAGTAATCGTCGACATTGTTTGTCAAGGGTGAGCCAGTCATCGCGATGCGGCTCATCGTCCTAAAGTTCGACGCTGCTTGACTGCGCTGAGAGCTGGAATTCTTGATGTAATGGGCTTCGTCGCAAACAACCATATTAGGAGTATCCCGCAAAAGATCGGCAACCTCTTGCTTGGCGTCTTTGTCCTTATCGTCTTCCTTGATATCCATCATTAGGGTAAACATCGCGTAACCCATGACGAGGACGCCGCCGTTTTCAGCCCAAGCCTTCACAGTCCTCTGCCGCTCGTTAACCGAAAGCCTGGACTCAACCTTGCGAACAGGTCCCAGAATATCGTTCGGAGCCCACATCTTAATCTCGTCGCACCAGTTATCAACCAAGCCAGGCGGACAAAGGATCAGCGTCTTGGACTCTCGCAAGTCTTCGGGAATCTGCGAGCGAATCGACTCATCTGGTGAGTTGGCCGATTCTGCGATGACGACGAGCAGGGTGATGACCTGCATAGTCTTGCCCAGGCCCATAGTATGTGCCAACAGGCAGCCCTGGCGGACACTCGAATTGAGGACGACTTGATTCCACATAAAGCGGACGCCTTCAATCTGGTGGTCTTTGATCTTGGAGCCAATATGGTCATTAATGTAGATCAAAGCCTGCTCGTCAGACTCTTTGGACTCGTTAACGATAAGGCGAGATTTGTCGCTGGGGACCTCGCCAGACTGAGCCAGTTTCTCGCGCAATTGCTTGGCTCGCTGAGAGAGCTCTTCTTCATGGAGGAAAGTCCTCTTGCGAAGATCTTCCGCAGCCTGATCGCGGCGCTTGGGGCGCCGCCGTTTCTTAATTGACGATTCTTCCTCTGCTTCTGCTTCGAGCTCCTTGATCTCTGCCTCTGCGGCTGCGATTGGATCTTCAATGTTTGTGGTCGCCTCTTTGTTGGGGGTCTTTCCGGCTGGCGATTTGACGACGATCCTAATGTTCTTCGTCGGCGTCCGTGCAAAGATCTGTGTAAAAAGGGGAAGAACTTTGTTGAGAAGAACACAAAAATTAGCAAACTTCTCGACCTCTCGCTGCATTCTCGCGAGCGTAATGCTGCGCATGTTCGGCTTGGGGATCCGTTTTGCTGTGACGCTGATGTAAGCATCAAACAGTTTGGCTAGTTCAAGGACTAGAGAGCTCGGGGCCGACTGCGAAGAGGAAGGATGCGACGAAACGCCAAGTTTCGTAACGAAGGGTTCCATAAACTCTTGCCAAACCTGATCGCTATCCTGGCCAACTACAGCTTTCGCGAGGGCGGTACGCTGTTCTGATGACCACGCATTGTTTAAGATAGCGACGACAAGGCGATCGGCGTCATTGTTACCCTCCCAGACTTCGTAACCCATTTCTCCGATTTTCTTGAGGCTTTCGAGGTCGGTGAAACCGGGGAGCTCTCCAAGGTTGCGAGACTTCTCCGGAGATGCGGACGACGAAATCTCGATGACCTCAGCCTGAGTGGGTACCAAGTTCTTCGGTGTTACTGGAGCTTGGACTTTTCCGGCTTTGACCTTAGTCGGTGTCGCCTGCGCTGAAGGAGGAACCTCGACAATTTTTCTTTCGGGAGATAGCGATGTGGCCGGTGCAGGTCTCGGCTGAGCATCCTCCTTGACGGGAGCTTCGACAATGGCTGAGTCCTCCAAGTTCGGGCTTATCGAAACAGGGCCGTGGTCTAGAGGGGGGGGCGAGTCGATATCCATCTCCGTCGCAAGTGACTTCATATCCTCTGTAGGAGGAAACTCTCCATCCTCGTCATACTCGATGAAGTGGTCCATATCGGAGTCACTCGACAGAATTTCCTCTTCTTCATCGTCCACGACGATCTTTTCCTGCTTCGGCTTGCGAAATGACCTTGGAAGAGGCAGCGGCTTCGGAGGAGCCCTTAGGCTCTCAATTACTTCAATCTTCCAAGCGAGATGGAGTTTCTCAAACAAGGTCACCTCAAGGTAATCTGCAAACTTTTGATGGACGTTTTCCTGAACCTTCCACTGCTGGAGCAGAATTTCTTTGATCAGACGCTGAAGCCGCGACTCGAGGCGCTCAACCTCTGATTTGAGGTGCTTCAGGAACTCGCGGCGCTTGGGATTTCGGCGAGCATCCTGCCAAATCTTCCGAGCCTTAAGCTCATACTTGGGCTTCTTTTCTTCCTGCCAGCGAGCCTCAAGCTCCTGGAGAACCTGGTTGATACAATCACGGACCTGGTCCTGACTGAGAGTGTGTTCATCCTTGGCAAGACGCTCCCGTCTCCTTTTACGCTCTTCCTCCTCTTTCAAGTACTCCTCCCAAGTCTCTGTGTCAACGCTTTGATCGTCATCAGACTCTCCGAATGGTGGCAGTACCACATCCTCTGACAGTTGCCTAGCTTGGAACCCGGGACGGGAGTTAGACAGAAGAAACCGCTTGAAGTTTCGGTAGACTTGGATGCGTCGATACCCAGGCACCTTCAGGCCAATGTGCTGAAAATTAAAGTCGTCATCAGCGTTATTGGCGTTCCGGGAGTTAACCAGAATGAAACTCTCATCCGGAAGACCTGAAGTACCGGGAAACGGGAAGTTGGTCTCCAAGGTGATTGCCGATGAACTCTTGCTAAGGAGGACGCCCCCCTGGGTAGGAATGGGCGCAGGGCACGTTCTAGTCGGCTCGGTCGAGATGGTAATCGGTGCAATCCTCCTCTTCTTAGCAGGTGGCTCCGTTGTCACAGGTTCGGAGAACGGTGCGCTCCTATCAACTGGGCTCAAACCCGCACGATCTGAAGCATTTTGTAGAGTACTATTATTCATTGCTTTCGAGCTGCTGGCAGGAGGCGCGGATATCGAGACCTTCGGGGATGTGGCGCTGCTGAGTTCGGCCTTCAAAGTTGGCTCCTCATCAGAAGCCTCCTCGCCTTCCGATTCGGTACGACGCTCAGCCTTCCATTGTCGGTACCTCTGGCTGCGCTTTTGGAACTGAGTAATGGCATCTTTGAGGCCCAATTGATGCGGTAGTTTATTGATGCCAAGATAGTGCCAAAGCTCATGGAAGCCAAGTTCTTCTCCGTAAGTGAGAAGAGCTTCGCCGTCAACTTCGCACTCCCGAAGCTTGGCTTCAAGAGCGACTGGGTCAGGAAGCTTCTTCGCCGACGGAGCCTTCCATGACCGATTGGAAGTGCAAAGCTCTTGAACCACTCGGTCCACATCCCATAAAAAGGGATCGGTTATGTCGTCCCCAGGCATCTTGAGGACCGACTGGTCTTGCTATTCAGGTGGTCAGTGAGATGATTATAAGAGATGATGGGTGATGAAAAAAGCGGGACAGGAGAGTTGAAAAAAAAAAACCCTTGGCCTCGGGCCACGTCGTGACCAGAAATGTTGGCTCGAGGCCAGCAACGAATGATGCCCTTGAAGCCGTAGCAGAAGATGCCGGCTTGAAGGACAAGTATTGAAATTGACAGATGGAGTGGTTATGGTTATGAAATGAAGAAAGTTGAGGACAGTAAAATGAAGGAAATCAGTTGAGTGGGGGAGGAAGTTGGCTGAGACGAGCAGAAGATAAAATAGAAGGGAGAGAGGAGGTGACATCTCGCGAAATCAATACTGTGCGAAACATGAGTGCAGAAGATGGGATGGCAACAGAGACAGAGAAGGCAATGGTAAGAGAAAGCGAACCCGGAATACGGGATAACTTACAGAAAAGTTAGAAGTGACAAGCCCACTTCATGTCCTTTGCCTGAAGCACAGTTGATGACTTGACTAGACGTGAGTTGTGAGGCTGAGGCCGGGGTTGTGAACGGTGGATGTACAATTAATTCGGTGCAGTTCACAGAGACGGTACAGTGGAACTAAGATACAATGTAGTCAGTGTAATCTGATGACAGTGATTGAGCCCTGACGAAATTATCTGTCGAGAATGAGCCGTTTGGTGAAGCTCAAGATGGAGCAGCATAGCAGAGTATGTTCTATGCGACGAAGAAATGAAGTTGAGTGATCCTTAAAAGATAGCAGAATATCGCATGCCAGTCACTCCGTGTGCAGGTCGGCCCAAGACTTGGTGAGAGGGGTGTGTGTGCGGCTGTGGCAACAGCTGGAGAACGACCAACGGACTAATCGGCAGTTTTCCTGGCAGGACATGGAACAAAGTGCCTGCAAGTATGATTCTGAGACAGCGAAATGCACAAACCTTGACGAAAGACCGGCTGAGCATTCACAAGGAGAGCCGAAGCTGTGCGAACCTTGGTCCCAGCCAAAGACAACCTGGAGAGAGGGTGTCGCGTGAAGCTCTGGCAAACGCGAAGAGGCGCGGAGGATAACAACCCGTGTTCACGTTACTGTAGAGCAGGCCCAATGCCGCTAAAACACTGCAGAGGGTTTTTTGACTTTTCAGCTTGGCAACCTTTGGTGGGGTAGTAGAAAAAACAGAGGATTCGTGTGATGGGAACTTTGCTCGACAGTGTGTGAGTTCATGCTGAGACAGTGCGCGATCCTTCTGGCACAGAATTATAAAAGGAAATGTCCTTAGACAATACTGAAGCATCATTATTCTGAGGGCCATCCACGTATTATAACCTTCAAAAAAGGGGGCTAGAACATTATAATCTGCTGATTAAAAGCCATATGTGCTCAGTGTTGTCTACCCAGTTCCAGTTTCCATGCACCCCAATACACACGTAACTTACCTCAGAGCACAACACCAAGATCGATGTTCCCACACCCGAACCCTAGCTGCTAACCTGAATCTTAACCTAACTTTAACCTACTAGTCCCAACTTTTTGGAAGTTGTTGAATCCTAATGTTGAAGTTTGCATAATTGCAGTGGTAAACGTTGGCGTGTAATGGCTTTTCATATAGGCTGGGCAGAGGCGGGGACTGAAAACTGGAACTCGACAAAACTTCACTAGGAGATTCCATACCTCTCTGGGTTTATGGGTATGGGGATCTTGCAACATCCGTACAGCTATGGCTGAAGCGCACACAGGATCTAGAGGCAAACACCGTGTGTATCCACCATAAACACTGTACGATTTTTGTAGCGCCGATTTAGTCCCGATAAGATAAGATTCCAAAACACCCCGCGATCGCGATGTGACGAGAGATGGTGACTGCGGGGCATTGACTGGCTTTCGGCACATCAATTGAGCGCCAGGAAAGTGGATGAGCATTTCAGCTGACCGATAATTGCTCTAAGGAGAGGTCTGAAGGTCTTTACTATACGCATTTTGGGGACTCGTGGCTTCTCTTTCAAACAGTTGGCGAACTTCAATATTTACTCGCTTGAAAACGGCCAATTTTGAACTCTCAAGCCGAGACTTCCCAGATTTGTAAGCAGCATCGGTCATCTCACTCTCAGAAAATCAATAACATCTCTAGTCTTTTCCAGGACGCTCACGTAAATCATTAGAGTCGCTCCCGAAAATGGCATATCTCACAGGCCCAAACTATCCCCCAGTCTTAGACAACACTGCCGAGACCGAACGGCTCGTCCAGACAGTCAAGGATTGGTCTATTGCCAATGGCCTCGCCATACGTCCACCGCCGGCTGTGGCCGCTGATGCTGATGGGATTTTGGCTATCCCGGCACCAGTAACACTATTCCCTAGCCCATTCCCCAAGAGCTGTTTTGAGGAAGCCAAGGCCATTCAGACGACGTATAACGAGCTCTATGCGAGGATCAGCAGGGATGAGGAGTTCCTTGGGAAAGTCGTCGAGGAGTGAGTAGTTCCTGGCACTTGAAAGACCTGATTTAAGCCTGCTTCTGCTTTGTGGGCTCAACAGGTGACGCTGACTCTGCTAGGGTTGCTGGCGGTGATGAGTTCATTGCCAACCTGTGGCAGGTTCACCAGAGAGTGAAAGGCGAGGGCTATGTCCAGCCCCTGACCTTGGGTCTCTTCCGCTCAGACTACATGGTCCATAAGGACGGTGACAACCTGCAGATCAAGCAAGTTGAATTCAACACCATCGCCTCCTCATTCGGCGGTCTCTCTTCAAAGACTTCCCTCCTCCACAAGTATTCCCTCTTCCCCTCTCTCGTGAGCACTCAGTGGCTAACGGATTCCAAGACACCTCGCCGCGACCGAATACCCCCTTCTCAACACCCCCATTCCCAGCTCATCCCTCAACCTCCCCTTCAACGACAGCGCCAAAGGCCTCGCGGCCGGCATAGCAGCCGCTTACCGCGCCTACGGCCCCTCCTTACAAGACCGTCCAGCCTGCGTCCTCTTCCTCGTTCAAGACGGTGAGCGCAACGTCTTCGACCAGCGCCATCTCGAATACGCCCTTCAATCCGAAGGCATCCCCGTCTTCCGACTCCCCTTCTCCCAGGTCTTGCAGCACACGACCCTGGGCGAGGGACGTGAGCTGCTCTACCGCCCGCCACACAACCCAGGCCACGTGTTTGAGGCTGCCGTGACGTACCTTCGCGCGGGGTACGGCCCGGGAGATTATACCTCCCCAGATGCCTGGGAAGCGCGGTACCAGATCGAAAAGTCGAAGACGATCGCCTGCCCGTCGGTGCTGACCCAGCTGGCGGGAATGAAGAAGGTGCAGCAGGTGTTGGCTACCCCGGAAACGGACAACGAGCAAGCGCCCGCGGCGCTGAGGCGGTTTGCTCCTTCTGAGGAGGCGGTTCCCCGTCTCCTGAAAACGTTCACCAATATCTACCCCATGTCGCCCTCAACACCGGCTGGACGGTTCGCTCAGTCTCTGGCAACATCACCAGAGCACAGCCTACGTTATGTCCTGAAGCCGCAGCGTGAAGGCGGTGGGAATAATGTCTACCGCTCTGCGATTCCAGCCTTCCTGTCGAAGACCCCGAAGGAGCACTGGGGTAGCTACATCCTGATGGAGCTGATCACGCCGCCAGCAGTACGGAATGTTATTCTGAGGAATGGAAAGATCGAACGGGGAGGCGTAATCTGCGAGTTGGGGGTGTATGGGACATGTGTGTGGGATCGTGTGACGGGCGAGGTGAAGTATAACGAGGAAGCCGGGTATCTGTTGAGGACGAAAGGAGAGGCAAGTGAGGAGGGCGGTGTGGCCGCTGGGTATGGGTGTATGGATTCCGTGTGCTTGGTTTAAAGGGTAGAAGGTAGGGAGGTATATATATAGAGTTTTGAGTTGCAATACATATACAAGTCAAGCTAAGAAAAGAAGTGTCGGTATTACGATGGTACCTAACATCACCAGGCAATCCCTAGCCACAATGTCTAGCCAAGCCGGGCTTTTCAAAAGTCATACTCTCTACCTTCTCCTAGCACTGCCTGGACCACTACCACCGCTCCCTATCCCCCCAGATAAATCCAATCCTCCCCAACCGTCGACCGCATCCTCAACCTCCGCTAAAAACTCTTTCGCATTCACAACACTCGTCCCTCCAAGCACGACCCGAACCCCCGGCACCGAAGCATTGATCCCCGCAACTAACTTCGCCTCCTCATATGTAGCACCACCAATCATAAAAACAATAATATCCTGCGGCTTATCCTTTGTCACCGACCCCAGGCCAGATGTGCTTCCTGAAGACGCCCCAGGCCCGGCTGATGTGGTATCCACAAATGGGAACTGCGACTCGCGTAGGCGTCCCTTTACCAGTTGATGAAGGGTACCCTCCATCTTCGGCGAGTGCTGCGTGTAAACATTCTCGACGCCCTTTAGGCCCTTGAAACGACCTCCGGAGGAACCGACGCCAAAGAGGTTAGCGACTACCGTGCCGGGGGTTGTCTCAAACAATGACTCGACGCCGCTGCTGTCTGCGCCGGGCTGTGCGGCATGCAGGCTGCGGTGGTAGGTCAGGAGTTTTGGAATCAGCGCAACCTGGCGGGCAGGGACGCCAGCTGCGGCCGTGAGCAGGTCAAGGAGGATGGGCAATGAGTTGGAAGGGTGTTTGGCGTAGCGTAGGGCGTAGAGGGCGACCAGGATGAGTTTGTTCTGTGGGGGGATGCTCGGATTGGAAAGGTGGGATTGAAGGGTCTGGAATTGAAGATTAGCCAGTTGTTCCGTGGGAAAAGGGTGAATCGAGGACGAACTTTGAGATCAGAGGAATGATTATCATTACAAGCGATGCTCTGCTCCAGCTCGCTCACCTCCAGCAGGTTCTCAGCACCGACACGCCGACTGAGCTCAGAGACCAGGGTGACATGCTTGCTGACGTTGCCCGACAGCTTACGGAACTCAGGATACTCCTCCATGAAACGCTTCATGTCGGCGATGGACTCGATGTCGTGGGTGCTCTTGGTGCGAGATTGGTACTGCTCGACGTAATCCTTGATGTTGCTGCCCAAGTCGCCAAAGTTGAGGTACATATTTTTCTTGAAAAAGGGGTCCTGGTCTTGTGAGAGGACAATCTCCTTAAGTTCAGGCCGGATGTCCGGCACGCTGCTCATGTCAACACGACCGTTGTTGATCCCCAGCAGGTGGTGCACCATGGCCTGGTAGGTCCATTGCATGAGCAATGGAGTAACTGGATCCTCGCGACGGTCGAGGATAAGGAGGATGGGGGGCGTATCGACCCGGCGGAAGTCAAACAATTGTTCCTCCTTGGAAACAAAGGTCCGCACTTCGTGGGCTAACCTCCTGGCCAAGCCGCTGGTCTTCTGGTAGCGAATCAACGGCCTCTTCTTGAGGCTCAACAGGACAGCGATGATACCTTCCGTTGCACGCTGCAATGAGTCTGCGTTCCACATGTCCGGACTCCCACTCCATAGCCGGTGGGTTGGCAAGCTCATGTTGAGCGAAAACAGGTCTGGGTTGATGACAGAATAGTCTAGGAAGAGCTCCTGAACAACCTTTACCACCTCATGATCATCTGCCTCAGCCAGCCTCTCCAGAGTCGACTTCTTGACAACGTTACTGAAGAACAGATGGTACTCCCCGTATTTGGGCTCGCGTAGCTCATCGACCAGGAGACCAACGGAGTCTAAAGTTGGCCGCAAAAAGCACAAACAACGCAAATGACGCATCTTCTCGCGGTTCTGGTTGTCGATACGGTCCATAAGATAAACCTCATGGTTCAGTAGGGTTGACTGTGAGACGGCAGTCGAAATGAAGGGCAGGGTGTCTCGATCCAGGAGAAGGATCTTCATCTTGGCTGATGGCGCTCCTGAACCGGACGCGCCACCGCCAGCCGTCACCATACGGTTGACATAGCCGACGGCTGCCTGTACAATATCCATTTTTGGTCGAGTTTAATTTTGTTGGAATGGAATAAAAACCCGGCGGAACTGTCGTGGTTTGCGGCTCAAGTACACATGGTCGAGGAGCCGAGGCTGGTCACAGTGTGACAGAAGCAGCCCTGCTTGAAGCGGATCGAATGGTCGGCTTTTTGATGTAGAAAATTCTCAGTCGTTGAACCCGAGTTGAATCACCATTCACAGAAGCTAATGATCCGATATCTAAAAGACGATGTCAACTCGAATCGCGGGGCTTTAGAGTGAGATTGGAACAAGCTGTTTCATGAAATGAATCAAGTTGGAAGTTGGCCCCGAGTCCATTGATAGTCGCACCCCAGATGCCTGGGTATGCCAAGAATACCAATGCAGGGGCTTAGCCCGGATCCCTGCAGATGCTACGATAAGATAAGGAGCTTGGTCTGCTAACCGGGGGGGGTGGGGCCCAGAGCACCGGCAATCAACCCAAAAACCACTTTCAATTCGCCCAGCCAAACGTCACCATCATTGCCATCGCCCACGACACCATGCAAACGCCCTGAATCCAAGGCCGAGTGCGGGATCTGCTCATAAACCATGGAGCAGGAGGTCTGCCCCGCCAAGGCAGAGCCGACGTGAGTATCGATCTGTGCGGCATAATTATCTGGATTTCATTTCATCCGCTCCGCTGTGGTCAACCGAGCTGCTAATGCTGTTCCCGTGGATACAGACTCTCCTTTACGCAGGGCTTCATCCTCGGTCAGCTCTCTGTCGTAATCATTCTTGCTGCGTTCATCAGGTTCTTCATTTTTGGCGACCCTCCGTCTCCTGAAGCTACGGCTGCCGCCCGTGCCTCCGAGCGACGACAGCGCACCCTCTCCCACAAGAAATCTATCCTCAGTTTACGAGAGGCCCGCGAGAAGGTTCAGAAGCAACAACAACAGAAGCAACAACAACAACAGGATAGCCAACAAAAACAGGATGGGCTGCAGCCGGCACCGACTCTTGGCAAGAAGAAATCGAGCATCCTCCGTACAGGTCCCCCCAACCTAACAATTGGCGCTATTCTCGAGAAGACCTACTACAAAGTCGATAGCCACCAGCCGGAGAGCCTCGACTGGTTCAACGTCCTGATTGCGCAGACAATTGCGCAGTTCCGCAGCGATGCCCAGCACGACGATGCCATCTTAAGCTCACTGACGAAGGCGCTCAATGGAGCCTCGCGGCCCGACTTCGTCGATGAGATTCGGGTGACGGAGCTTAGTCTGGGAGAGGACTTTCCCATATTCAGCAACTGCCGCATCATCCCAGTTGACGAGGATGGGCTGAGCTTCGAGCCTCGGCGCGGGGGTTTTGATGCTAGTTGGCTCACCCGGCCAGGTGCCCGGTTGCAGGCACGGATGGACGTCGATCTGAGCGACATGATTACGCTGGCGGTTGAGACGAAGCTGCTGCTCAATTTCCCCAAGAAGCTGAGCGCAGTTTTACCGGTAGCGCTGGCTGTGTCTGTCGTACGGTTTAGTGGCACACTGTCCATCTCTTTCATCCCCAGCAATCCATCCGAGAACACGCCGACCAAGATGACGTTCACTTTCCTTGATGATTACCGGCTCGACTTCTCGATCCGCAGTTTGCTCGGCAGCAGGTCACGTCTACAGGACGTGCCAAAGATCGCACAGCTGGTCGAGTCGCGGCTACATCGATGGTTCGACGAGCGCTGCGTGGAGCCGCGGTTCCAGGAGATCGCGTTGCCCAGCATGTGGCCGCGCAAGAAGAATACGCGCGGCGGCGACGAAGCCATCGCCGAGTCGATTAGCAAAGCAAAGGGTATGGAAATAGCTAGGGAGTTGAGAGAAGAAGCTGCGAGGAGTAGTAGAGAGGTTGAGACTGAGGCGGATGCGCGCACTGACAGGATCCTCCACGAATCGCTGAGATATCGACGACGACCGAGAGTTTCGAATCTTTTTGATGACGGGCCGCTTGCTGGACAGATGCCAGGACCGATGCCGGGGTCGATGCCGGGAGTCGACTTGCCTTCGCCGTAGCCAAAGTTTTAACATTTTCTAGGGTATGTACCGATACACAACAGGCCGAGACGGATACGCACATCGAGTGACCCAGATCGACACTACATGCTCTAGTAACTTTTACTAATCGAGGTTTGTGACACATCACCCAACCCTTTCGGGCAGTATCCTCGAGCATCTGTCTGGCCCAGCGGACTGAGATAGGGATGGAGATTACGAACTACCTTAACGAGACAGGAGTTCTGTACAATTTACACACATATATATGTCGGACGAGTTGATATCCATAGCTACAAACTGGTGTTGTATTATAGACTGGCCAGAAGTATAGAGGAGGCTCTTTGACAAACAAAGCAGTGAAGCATCAGTTAATCCCATCTGGAAGATGGTAGCCGCATCACGGTTGGCTTCAGATATGCAATTGTTGGGGTCTGTTCTTTGTGCGGGCTCCCCCTCGCAAGTGGAGAAGGTGGGAGCCACTGGACGACGTTTGCCAAGCAAGCACATGAAAAATGCCAAGATTTTAATGCCCAGCTGATTCTGGTGACATCACGCGTGTTGCACAACGAAAGGGCCTCAAACAACATCCAATTCCGTCCCAACTCTCAATCGAGTATTTTTTCGCCCTTTCTTATCTTCTTTCCCCTTAGAGTTGCGACGGGCTTCAGACGACTCAACTCCGTCGCTGCCCCCCTCTTCCTTTTTGCGTATTTCTCTTCCAGCGGGCTTAACGTTTTCTTCCCGCAGCACAGAGAGTGGAAGAGATAGAGAAAAGGCGCAATTATAAATTATACTTGCGATCTCCCCCTTCCACTTTATCAGCTGCCGGATCGAGATCACAACACCAGGGGCGCCGACCCTGCCTTTAGCGGCCCTCTAGACTCCCGACACGAAGGACTCCGAGAAGCCTGATGAAATAATCAAACATAGTCACAAGATGATTCCCTTCATACACAAACGTATGCTCCGGTCAACCACTCCTGAGGCCCTCTTGAGCTCTGGCGCCCACGTCTCGTTGAACACTCTCAGCTGACTTGATTTCTAGCGTTCGTCTACCTGTCAGGCGTTATTGGCGCTGGACCAGATGAGCGTACGGATTCCTCTATAGTCTCGGACAAAAACCCAATGCTGACTTTGCCCAGTTAAGCTCATCTTCTCCATGCTGCTCTCCTACCCCCTGACTGCCCTACTCAAGCGCATCCCCGACTCCCGCCCTGACCTCAAGAACCTTTTCAGCGTGAGGTGCGTCAAAGGAGCCCGCTGCTGGCCCTATAGCTCTGGCTAACACCGACCAGCGTGTCCATCTTCTACCTCGTCGGGCTCTTCGACCTCTGGGATGGCCTGCGCACCCTCCTCATCTCCGCCGTCGGCGCCTATGCCATCGCCAAGTTCCTGCGCCGCTCGCCCTACATGCCCTGGATTGCCTTCGTCTTCCTCATGGGCCACATGAGCGTCAGCCACATCGCCCGCCAGCGCGCTAACAACCCACGCTCGGTCGATGTGACTGGCGCCCAGATGGTCATGGTCATGAAGCTGTCCGCCTTCGCCTGGAACGTAGCTGATGGCGTGCTACCTGAGGAATACCTTTCTGACTTCCAGAAGGACCGTCGTCTGACTGAGCTGCCGTCTCTGCTTGACTACGCAGGCTTCGTCTTCTTCTTCCCTTCGCTGCTCGTCGGTCCGGCCTTTGACTTTGCCGAGTACCGTCGCTGGCTGGATACTTCCATGTTCGACGTGCCTGCCAACATCGACCCCTCCAAGCGCCCGCGGACTCGCAAAAAGCGTCGCATCCCCCGCAGCGGTACCCCCGCTGTTCTTAAGCTCTTGACAGCTCTGGTCTGGATCTTTTCTTTCCTGAAGCTGAGCGCCTACTTCCCGCCACAGCACCTGCTGTCCGACAAGTACATGACCTACGGTTTCCTGCGCCGCTTGCTGGTGTTGCATCTCGTTGGATTTACCGCCCGTACAAAGTACTATGGCGTCTGGACCCTGTCTGAGGGCGCCTGCATCCTGGCTGGATTGGGCTACAACGGCGTTGACCCCGTCACTGGTAAGGTGTCGTGGAACCGGCTGCAGAACATCAACCCGTGGGGTGTTGAGACGGCGCAGAACACGCGCGCCTACCTGGATAACTGGAACATCAACACCAGCAAGTGGCTGCGCAACTATGTGTATCTGCGCGTCACGCCGCGGGGCAAAAAGCCCGGTTTCCGTGCTAGCCTGGCGACTTTTACGACGAGCGCCTTCTGGCATGGCTTCTATCCAGGCTACTATATGGCCTTCGTCCTGGCTAGCTTCATCCAGACCGTTGCGAAGAGTACGTCCACCTCCTCGATCTCCCCTTTCTCTGAGGTTCACGTGCTAACCTGCGCAGACCTCCGGCGTCACTTCCGCCCCTTCTTCCTCCACCCGACCACCCAACAACCTCTCCCCTCCAAACGCTACTACGACCTGGCCTCCTGGCTCACCACTCAACTCACCTTCTCCTTCGCCGCGGCGCCCTTCATGCTCCTTGGCTTCAATGACTCCCTTATTGCCTGGAAGCGTGTCTACTTCTACGCCATTGTTGGTACCTTCTCGCTGCTGGCTATGTTTATGACGCCTGGTGTGAAGAAGAGCCTAAGGAAGGCGTTGGAAAAGAGGCAGCGTGCTTTCGCCATCCCTGCTGGTGAGAAGAAAGAGGAGGAGGAGAAGAAGAAGGAGAAGAAGGGAGGTGAGGATATGGTCCGCTCACCGTCGTCGAGCGATGAGAATGGTGGTCCAGTTGGGTTGGGAGTCAGTGACGATATTGAGAGAGACCTGGATGAGGCGGTTGGGGAGTTGAAGGCCGAGGTCGAGAGCGCGGTGAGGCAGAGGCGAACTGGTGCCACCACGCTCCGGAGGGGGTAGGATGTTCCGGGGCCGGTGTTGCTGAAATGGACTGAGTTGGGATGGATGGAGCGGCGGTCCTATCGGTGACGAATGAGGCATTGAGGGGGGAAGTAAAGGGGGAAGTCCTATTATACCACGGGGAAATGTAAGAGGCAGGCGGGTAACTGGGGAGAGAGGGGCCTGCGGTGCTACGGGGGTTATTGGATTGGATTTTGTGGGGCTACTTTATACATTTCCGTGGTCCGGTGTTAGGAGTTTGTGTTGGTGGAGTGTTGGAAAGGAGCAAGCCTTGATTTAAAATGAAATGCATGGTCACGGAACTTAGGCACACAAATATTATATCTACACATTCGCAAGGGATAGACAGGGAACTGGTTCTGAATCCACTTCCATTCAAGCCCTGACTACTAAGAACTAAATACTACGATTGGCGCATCGTTATAAGCCAGCCAAGTCGTGCCCAGTCATCCGACGAGGTAAAGAGACTTAAACAGGCTCTAGCTAGTCAAAAAAAAAAACACTGAAGAGTGAACATAAAGCCCATACCATAGGCTCATAAGCTCTATAGATCGTAATCATGTCCTCATGACCGTTGAAAGTTCCAAAAAAAGGAAAGGACTTATCCAAGAAGCGAAGAAAAAACAAGAGAATCATAACGAAAGTCAAATGGGGGTATCTCAGCGTTATACCCAACCACAACCCCAGATCCATACAACCATATAGTACAACTGCAGCACCATCTTCCTATCGTCCAGCCAACTCCTGACTCAAGCTGTCTCTAAAAGGACAGAACTGGTGTACAGGGCAAAAAAAAGACGTCCTTTTAGGAAATAGTAAAAAAAAGAAAGTAACCATGAAAAGAATGGTATGTCAGGTAGGTAATTGTACAAGTCCCACATTAGCGTGCGAGCGCTACTCGAGTGGGACAGCGGTATAAGAAAAGGGGAAGCAAAAATTGAAAAAAAAAAACAAAAGAGTGAAGGTAATTTCATCATCAGAAATTGAAAACATAAAAGGCATAAAAGCCATCTCTCTCGCATAAGTGGGATTCATTGTAGATAGAAATCGTGTGCGAGTAAATCTGTTGAAACCAGTGGTCCCGGGGGGGCGGGGGAAGAAAGGGGAAGGGGAAGGGAAGGGGGGGGGGGGCGGGGCCATATGCTTTATCTCGAAACTCTCTCGAACAATCGAGGTCTATTATCTCTTGTTTTGTCCTGCCTGTGTGTTGTTGTTGCCTCCCTTGCAGAAGCTGTTCGCTGTTGGTTTCCCTTCTAACAATATTCGTGTGTATGTTGCATATGTTCCTTTGTAGTCGCCCCCCCACCAAAGAACAAATCCACTTCCCAACCAACCGACCAAAAAAAAATGGAGTTAAGCCCATAATTTGTAACCAAGATTGTCAAAATTCCATTAAAGCCTCAGAAGATTCCCCTTTCCAACAGGTAGCCGAACCGACCCATGATATGGTTGACCATTGAGAGACCGACCACATAGTTTAACCATGTATTGACACCAACCATACCACCCATCAACAATAGTGATTAGGTAGTAGTAACCATAGTATTGTACGTAAGAAACATTTGTCGTAAGCATCGTTAAGCAGTAACCGCACTGGGTGTGCATGTGTATGTGCATGTGTAGGAGTGTATATGTACGCGAGCGTGTGTTGAGGGTATGTATGTGCGAGACGGAGTGTATGTGAGAGAGTTGGCGGCCCTTTTTCCGACCAGCACATCTTCCAAACGTCTAACCCCGGGAGGATTTGAGGAGAGGTTTACCTCCCCCAGCGCTGCCGACTCCCAACAACAGCAAGCACAATTACGGCGACAATAATCGCCACCCCGACGACGGTCATAACCCGGTTAAGTCCCCTCCACCACCGGGCACTCTCAAACTTCTTCTCCTCCATCACCATCTTCTGATACTCCCTAATAGGATATCCGCGCCCTACACTGCCGCCATTACTCGGCCTCCCACCATTACTCGGCCTGCCCGCATTATCCAAATCAACACCGGCCTCCTCATCCGTCGACGCAGAGCCCCCCCACGTCATCCGCGGGTTAGGCGGCAGCGGCAAGAAAGCCGCGCACAGCCAAGCCAGCGGACAGACGAAGCCAAGGGCGAAGAGGACGATCTGGATGTTGCGACGGCCAAACAAGCCGCCCTTGTCGGCGGACCAGTCGACGCTGGGCGGGTCCCAGACGCTGTAGCGCTTGGCGTGGGCGTCAGGGAGCAGGTGCGGGGACCAGATGGACGAAGTCTTTTCGCGGAGCGTGCGGAGGAAGCGGTTCTCGGGGGGGGCGAGCATGTTGTTAACGGTGGTCGGGGGAGCTGGGGTGACGTCCATGGAGGTGGAGGAGGCGGCGGCGGCTTGGCTCGTGGGCCGACCGGTGGGGGTCTGGGGGACTTGGGATTGTTGGCCGGGGCGGATTTCCCTTGGGCGCTTGCGCGGGCTGTAGATGGTCTGGGGGAACTGGTCGGTGCCGGGGGACTCGCTGCCGTTGGGAATGTAGCCGCTCGGGGGACGGCTGCTGCCGTCTTCGCTGGTGTCGGCCAGGCTGAGGAAGGACGGCTTGTGGCCGAGCCAGCGACGCTCACCGGAGCCGTAGTAGACACGGGCCCAGGCAGGGATGCTGGACGTAAAGCTGTTGGCGCGGGAAGCGACGCTGTTCGAGCGTGAGCGGGAACGCGACCGCGAGTTGGAGGGAGAGTGGAAGTAACGGCTAGCACCCTGAAAGAGGTTGGACAGGCCGGTCTTCGAGGGGCGGTGGCTGAGCTCTGCCAAGCCGTCTCCGTGCTCGTCCTGTTCATGCACCATGCGGATCGGCGCAGGGGGGCGCAACGGCCCCTGAATATCAGAAGCCGTGCCGGCGCTGGTAACGACGGCGGCAGCGGCCTCCTCGAGCTGGCCGACCATGGAGGACGAGATGCTGGGCATGCCACGGCTGTGCATGGAGCTGACCCAGCCGCTGCTGCGACGGCGATGGTGCTGGTAGCCGTGGCTGCTGCTGCTGCTGCTGCTGCCGCCCGGGACGGGAGACATGGCAGGATCGCTAGCCGGCTCACTCTCGGACATGACGGTTGACAGCTGGGAGCTCCATTGATGGGGCGCACCCTCGATCATACCGGTTGACGGGCGGCTGCCGGTAGGAGTTTTGGGGGTCCTATAGCTGGAGCCGGGCCGTTGCGGCAGCGCCCACGGAGCAGGCCCAAGAGCAAGCAAGGCCTGTGTGGGATCCTGAGTAGTGAAGATGGACGACAAGCTCCTCAAAGACTGAACAGAACCGGTCCGGGAGCGAAGGGTCTCGCGAGAGCGCTGCCTGTAGTAGCCGAGGCGTTCGCTCGAGCGCTTCCGGATCGGCCGGAGCGGCGGGACCACCAGGCTCTCCTGAGAGTAGTCGGGGAGGGGCTTGCGGCGGATAACGGTCGCCTGGGATTGCGACGAGGTGTCCGAGATGGACGGGGGTCCGTGCAGCACGTAGTTGTCGCTGCCGGCGTCGCGCGGGATTGTGGGAGGGCTGCTCGGAATCTGAGGGATGGCGGGAGACGAGGGGCCCAGGACCTCCCAGTTCTTCGCGCTTTCTGCGCTGAAAGCAAGGCTGTCGTTCGACTCCTGTGCGGTCGAGCCGGGCCCGTAGACCTTGTAGTTTGTCCTCTCGGACACGGTCTGGACGGTGTGGCTGGAGAAGTCCGAGGTGAAGGAGCTCTTTGGTGCCACAGAGCGTTCCTCGTCGTGCGCCGTCTGCTTGTCCTCCTCCTCCTCCTTCTTCTTCTTCTTCTCGTTAATATCCTCAACGGAAGAAGCCGCCTCGGGGAGCGTGGGAAGCAGGGATTCAGTCGTTGAAGACAGCGGCGCGTCGTACACGGGCTGCCTGCCCTTGAACTCTGGCGTTGTCGGGGCCGGACGCAGGCCGCTGAGCAGACGATAACCCCAAGGAGATGAGCTCTTCGGGGGTTCTTCGGGGACGATCTGGGTAGAGGAAGAAGCGGCAGAGCAGGCGGAGAAGCGAGGTAGATCGGAGACGCTCTCCAGAGCGACCGTGCTCTCGGTAGTAAAGGGAGTGCTGGCACGGCGAGCGCGATCGCTCCAGGCGTAATCCTGGGTGCTGGCGCGGGAAGTGCCTGACAGGCGAGGAGATCGGCCGCTGGGCGACAGGTTCAGGGTTGGGGCAGAGGGGTCCTGACCATCACGCACCAGGGAAAAGGTGCCGTCCGGATGGATGGCCAACTGCAGATTACGGCGACGGGACGGGGGCCGCACGAGTTGGGCTGGGCCAGGGGAACCCGGGGACGAGGGCGGGTTGGACGAACGGGACCAACGGGACAAGGCTGATGGTGTGCGCTGGCCGACAACGCCCATCAAGGATTCGGACGATGACTTCACGTGGCGGATGGTCGGACCCACTGATGAGGAGGAGGGGCTCGCCTGGGTAGCCTGGCTGGACTGTGCGCTTTGCGCGCCCGTGGGTTTCACTCCTGAAACGCGATCATCCCGGGATCGTACCGACGAGAAACCGGGTTTTGTGGGTGACGGCAATGCGGACCCTGGGCTCTGCGCACTGCCCTCAGCGCCCTCTTCCATAATCACCTCATCTCTGGTGCTTGGACGTCTGGCATAGAACTGGCTGGCAGTGCTGTCACGGCGGTCATTATTGTCGCGGGACGAGGCCTGGCTCGAGGCACGCTCCTCATCGATGCGCGGCGGCGAGTAGGGCACGATGCGGATGCCGATGCGGTTGCTCTGCTGCGAGCTGGAGCGCTCGTGGAGCGGTGTCGACGGACCATGTCGGCTGGGCGGCGCCGACATGGCTCTGGGATGTACGGTGGTGGTTGTCTAGTGAAGAGAAAGGAACGCGGTCGGGGGATTATCACGGCGGCAGCGGCAGGGACTCCCGCGGTCGAGGACAAGGCTGAGGCAGAGGCTGAGGCTGAGGCTGAGGCTGAGGCTGAGGCTGAGGCTGAGGCTGTTGGGCTGTCAGAAATCTTCCATGAGCGAGTCATGCGGCGAGCAAGAAATCTGATATTGTGATAACGTCGAGTCGTAATCGTTGATTCTTTGGTCGTGGTCGGTGGCTTGTCGTATCGATGGAGTCGCCTGAACAGAAAACGCGTCGGATGGAGCAGGGAACACGATGAACAGAAAGGCAACGGCAACGCTTGACGTCTTGAGCCGACTCGAGTCGAGATGAGTTCGAGATGGATGAAGCCGATGATACTATTACCCTATTACGCGTGTGGTTGGACTAGTGTAGACTGCAGGGTTGTATGCGTAAGGTGCGTCGGTGTGGTTGCGGTGTGCAGTGAGGACGAGGGCGAGGGCAGGGTGAGGTGTTGGTCACGGCAGGTGGTAGTAGTGGTCGTAAAGAGCGTAATGCTGTGGCTCTCGGCGAGAGAGAGAGAGAGAGAGTGAGTGAGTGAGTGAGTGAAGTAGGGGTGGCTGTTGATGTTGACGGCGATGATAACGACGGACGGGACGGGACGAGATTAGGGCTGAATGCTGGAATTATGCCTAAGAGCTGGTCCCAAGCAGCAAAACGAATGCAGGGAATATGCAAGAACGCAGCAGCAGTTTGTTCGAGGCCACAGCAGGAATGGAGGGGGAAGGGGAGGGCAGCAAAGAATGACAAAAGTTGGGTTATTCTTAGAGCCAGATGCACCAAATGCACGTCAGTTGAGCATTAGGCCATGTGGACGGTCTGAATCTGGAGCAGCAAAAGAGCGACGGCGATGGCGACACCAGACAGAGACACCCTTCCCCGGTTTGCAAAAGAGTGGAAGCGTCAGCGACGCAGAGGTCCAATTGGGCGGACTGGTCCCAAGTGGGAGGGAAAGAAGGCAGAGAGTGGGCAGAAAGAGGAAAAGAGGGCGGGAAACACAGCCAGGTGGGCGGCTAGAGCTTAGGTATCTCTCTCCACAGCCTGTCTGCACTGCGCACCGAGAGTCAACCAAACAGTCTGACAAGTCTGATGACCAGACGGCCGTGAACGTTTCGTCTTAGGGTTGCAGAGAAAAAGGAGTGGACGAGAAGCGCAGAGGTCGACGGGAACTAGGTTCGGTTGACTGCAACCTTGGGAAAAGGCGGAGAAAAGTGATTTACGCCAGGGCCTGGCTGGGCTGCTGGGGACCTGAACTGGGGGCCCCGGGGGGGGGGGGGGGAGGGAGAGGGAAGCACGGCAGCTCCAGCGCTTCCACTTGCGCTCTTTGGCTTCAAAGATTTGGGACGCTGAGGAGTCACTTTGAGGAGAAGCTCGTCGCCTTTTTTTTTTTTTTTCCCGCTTTGGCAATTCGCGCAAAACAACCCCCCAAAGTCCCCAACTTCATCATCACCAAAGCACAACTCTCGCCAACACAAATCCGTCGAAAACCCCCATGTCGTCCCCAGCGCTGTTTTCTGGCTCAGACACGCCGCGCCAGACGCTGCTGCAGCTGCACACGCAAGGAGTCCAAGGAGAAGCGTCGAGATGCTGACCGCCCAGCGCTCGGGCGGCCCCCCCCCCCTCTCCTCCCTCTCCTCCTCGCTGGTCCCTCGCTCTCGCCGGGGGGGGGTTGCAAGCCCTTGGCGGCCTTGCTGATGCTTGCTGCACCAGGGACAAGGCTGCCAGCCTGGCAGTTTTAATTTCGCATCCCGCTGCTGCTCTTCGCCGATAGGGCCGGTTGCTGCAGGGACAACGAATGCCAGCAGGCCCAGCGAATCCAGCGCAAGCTTCAGCGAGGTGACAGCGGGCTCTTAGTGGATCCCATCAGCTTGCAAGAAGCTCCAACGCCCTCGCTGAGCTTGACTGGGCCCCCCCCCCCCGGAGACAGCCCTTTTTGGGCTTAGCCCCCCAGCCTTGGTTCCTGGATGCCCCACTCCAGCCACGCCCGGCCATTCCCACTTTGGGCATGAGCCCAACGTTTTCGGATCTGGGAGAGCTCCACCCGGCTGGTTGCTATCGTGGGATCCTCCCTTCCAGCGACCGGGACCAAACGACGACAGCTGCTCTGCAGCTTTGGAAGCTGGGAGGACCTTTGCTGCAAACTCATCCGAACAAACCTTTTTCTGGCTTTGAGCCTCTTCCCGACAAGACCGACGCCAACGCCGCACCAACGCACACCAAGGCGAGCCTAGAATTCCCATCCGGCATTGCTCGACGACTCCATCATCTCTAACCCTATCAACCAATATATCAATTAAATATCAATGCCCGTTACCACGCTGTCTCCCGCAGCTTGGATGTTAGATCCTGGGTCACCCCGCGCGCTAGCTTGACCACGCGAGTCGGGGTGATCCTGACTGATCTTTTGATGGCATCTCAATGCCCATGATCAACCTCTTGATGAGCTTGCGAAACGCTTCTGCCGTCGCTACGCCTCGAGCGAAGCGGTAGAGTGGTTCGACTCGACCGGACGCCAGCTTTTCCAGGAACCATGCGGCAGGATGTGCTGCGCAACGTCGCATCTCGGCTGTTCAGGCGCAGTTCAGCTCCCTTTTTTTTTTGTGGTCTAAAAAAGATGGCCTCCGTCGAACCAAATTCTCAGCGCCGGACCCAACCACACAGCTTTTTGATAAACCCGCAAGTGTTCCATGTGGCGCCGGTACGACAAAGATCTGGCAAAGCAAGAGCCTCAACGCTTTGAATTTGTCTGACGGGAGAGCTTGCTTGCCGATCTCATGAGTTTGTGGCCATGCATAGTACCTCCGGGTTGTGCGCAGTCTCACAGCAATCAGCCCAAAAATTTCCCGGCGCTTCTTTTTCCCTGGTTGAGGTTGTGGGCGCACACACCGATCGAAGCCAGAGAGGATTTTGACGGGCCAAAAAAAAAAAAAAAGGGGGGGGGAGCCGGATACGTGTTCAACGGCGGTGGAAGCCCTCGGAAAACCGATGCAAGCCACAGGCTCAGCAGGGGTCGCGACCATCGCCAGTATCCTTCCCATTCGCGGGTTCTCGCGGGGGATCAGGCTGTTGCAGTAGCACGGGCACTGGCAATGGATAAACAGAGATAGCTCGTTCCTGATCCGGATTACTCTTTTTATTTTTTTTTCGCTCTTGTCTGTCTGTCTATCTCTGCTGTCATGTCGGCTTCATCCACTTCAACCGGATTGATGGGTTGTAAGTATACTGTTTAAGTGCCATTAGAGCCGAGCCGACTGTACGGATGCTCTAAGCTCTACGGGTCATAGGTAGCATAATATAGCTTCGGACTATAGGGTAAGTGCAGCATATAACCCGCCCGGAGTATACCTCCTTCTCAGGTAGGTATAGAGGATCGTCAGTAGAGTCGCAGTGGACGGACGGAGCGCAAATCTCGCGGAGACGGCTGTCAATGTCAATCGACGATCGGAAACACACGCATAGGTACACGGACATGAGGCCATTGTGCATGTAGTATTGATGGCAGGTCATCAGTTATGCTTTAGGGGAAAGAAAACAATACGTAGGGAGAAGAACAATATGGACAGCGACAAGTGAATGCTCAGTCAGCCTCAAGATTTCATCCCTCGAGTCAGTCTTGAGCGCCCGTCTTGACCTCTCTCTCTCCTCCCCCCACACACACACTCACTCATTCCATCTCCAAACATCTACAACCTTAGCCGTTGAGTTATTTTATGCCCCATACGTACCTTGAATGTCAACGGGACGACGTCGATCCTCCATACACACGCACACAACAAAAGGAAAAGATCTTCTCTGTCGGTGCTGGGAAGCTGGCCAAGCGCAGGTGGAGACAAGAGGCCAAACTCTTTTGAGGATTTCTCGGCATGGAAAACAACCTGACCTTACCTAAGCTCACAGCCCCTTTCTCGGCTTGCGGGTCCCCTCTCAACAGCCGATGGAGCCTAAGGCCGCAGCAGCATAGCGCGTCGGCTTGACATCTGACAGGACGGGACAGGACAGGACAGGACAGGACAGCTTGGTCAACATCCAAACACACACTGAGGACATATTCCATTGAAACTCTCAAGATTGTTGAACCAAAAAAAAAGAAAGAAAGAAAGAAATTATCATACGAACAGACGAAACGACCGTTTGCGCGGCCACTTGATTGATCTGCACATCATCGCCGAGAGTAGGCAAAAAGGAAAACAGCCACCGACAACGACAACTGTCGTACCTGAGGCAATCTGACCTCTGACCGGCGTTTAAGCAGGGGTTGAGCTCGGCGGCTACGCGCTTAGCAGCAGCAGCAGCAGCAGCAGCAGCAGCAGCAGAACAACGACCACGGAAGTGAACGGAGACAGCTGAGAATTCGGAATCACTTACCTGAGGTGGTGCAACTGTTTGTGTGTTTCGTTGTACTGAGCTTCGCGTCAAATTCAAGTTGGGTTTGGTTTCGGAGTGAGAAGGGCTCAGGAGAAAAGAACTTGGGGCAAAGCAAGAAATGCCTGCCTTGGGTGAGGTATTCAGCAAGATCAACCCTTGGCATAAGGGTACGTCACCTCTCATCACCTCTCTCTCAGTCGTCTCGTCTTGTGACATATCATCAGTTTATTTCATAATATTTGGACTATCTCACTGCTCAACTCGCACATCCATTTACATGTGTGATCTAAAGCAGCAATTACAATTCAGATACCCCTTACCTCTCCACATTTCATTTTCACAGTTCCGAGGATGATGAATGCTAACCCCCTCCAGATAACCCTCCACCACCCCGCTTAACAACTCGCACAACCGTCCTCCTCCTCATCCTCTACGCCCTCTCCTACTTCATCCCCTTCTACCTCTCCTCGTCTACCCGCCCATCCACCACGCACTCACGGGACGCCCCTTCCGTCATCCGCGCCCGCATCCGCTCCGTCACATTCACCTGCTTTACTTGTGCCGCCGCGACGTACATCATCCTCTTGAGGACGTACGTTCCCTCATCTGAGGATGGAGACGGGGCAGTGCTGAGTGGCCCACACCGACAGGCTTTGCACCTGTTGGGTGTATGGCCTGTCGGGCTGTGGGATGGGCTGAAGGCGTTGGGGTTGACGATGGTGCTATATTTGGGGCCGTTGTACGCTTATCTCGTTGTCGAGGGCGGTTGGAGGGATTGGATTTTGAGGGGTTGTGCACCAGCGAGGGAGGTGCTTTTCGGATGGGAGTGGACGAGTTGGAGGAATATCGTTGCCGTAAGTCCCTCTTCCCTCTTACCCCCACAAACCCCCTCCACCCCCCCCCCACCTCCCCCCTCCTCTCCTTCCTCTCTCCCTCCCTTTCAGTCGGCGTCTCTCCCGAACAACCATACTGACTTGAACTTTGAAGGGTCCCATAACAGAAGAACTCCTCTTCCGCTCCTCCTCCATCCCCTTGACCCTGCGCTCTCCCCTCACTCCCTCCCAAATCATCTTCTTCACCCCAATTATCTTCGGCCTCTCCCACGTGCATCACTTCTACGAGTTCCGCCTCTCCCATCCTGGTGTGTCCTTCCTCCCGGCCTTGCTACGCTCTCTCTTTCAATTCGCATACACCACGCTGTTCGGAGCGTACGCGACATTCCTCTTCCTCCGCACCGGCTCCTTCCTGGGCGTGTGCGCCGTGCACGCTTTTTGTAATTGCATGGGTCTGCCGCAACTTTGGGGAAGGGTTGAGCCCGAGGATGATGATGAGGAGGGGCTGGAAAGAGCGGTGCCGGTTATGGCGGGCGGGGATGCTGGGCAGCAGCATTCGAGTGGGAATAGGGGGCAAAAAAGGAAGAGGTTGAGTATCCTGTGGACGATTATTTACTACGTGCTGTTGGTGACTGGAGCTGTGTTGTGGTGGAGGAATTTGTGGTCGTGGACGGAGGGCAGCAATGCTTTAGTGCCGAAGCAGGCGTTTAAGAAGGCTGCTTTATAGGTAATTTTCTGGCCTACGAGGAGTTGATAGTTGATAATTGGCTAAGATGTCTAGGAGCAGGGTTGGTGATATTTTTATAGTTTTCCTGCTTTATAAGCATACTCCCACCTCCAGGACCACCGGGACATAATACCTAGGACGGATCTTTATATAATAGACGGACATTCTATCATACCGTTACTGCTTCTACGCAACCATACAAGGCAACCAATACTCCCATCAATTCACTACTCTATCTACCAACTTCCGAGCATGCCCACGCCTGCCCACACATCACTTGCTGGTCATACCCTACCTACCGACCACCACCCATCCATTCCAACCCCAGTTATCGTGATTCATGGAGCAAAGCCCGAACCAAACCGGCCGAGCCTGTAGTCCCATAATTAAAACCAATAAGCAGACCGGCGTCCCTTCCTTCTCTTCCTACAAAAGGGGGAGAAAAGCAGATTTTGCCATTACACAAGTATTCCCACATTGCCGCAAAAGAAGAAAACGCCCAATTTGTTGTCGTGCCTGTCGAGCGCGCCTTGTATCATCTGATTTTGCCTCTTATTTCAGCTGAATGCTAGAAGACCCTTTGGAAAAAGAGGATAAGATGGAGGGAAACTGAAAGAAAGGTTGAAGAGAGGATTAGAAAACCCCTTATGTTCCCATTCCAATCAACGAGGTCCGAGCTCTATGCTGCAAGCAGGCGATTTTCCGTCTGCGAGAAGAACAAAAAAATAAGACTAATAGATCGTTCACTAAATGGCTATGTGAAGAGTAAAGAGGGCAACGGGGCGAAACGGGGCGAAAATGAGAAAGGAAGGGGCTGAAAGAGATTAACATCATAGGATGTACAGAGAAGATAACCATCAACAACGGCCAGGTCCCACGCTTCGGTTGCACCCGGCTGCTTCAGCGTCGAGGAAATTTTGCCCCAAGCCGTTGCCATTTCTCTCTCCTCTCCTCTTCCTCTCTCTCTCTCTCTTACTTTCTCTCTCTTCTATCCCTTATGACGAGTTGGCGTCTCGATTGCTCGCTGAGCTGGCGCTCATGGTAACAGGCTTAGGTAGGCCAACCGCCTCCTGGGCCTTTTGGCGGACCTTGGCCCAGGTGAAGACCAGACCCGAGATAAAGCCAACAATGATGGCAGTGACACTGCCGAAGGTGATGGGAGCATCGAAGAAGATGAGGCCAGAGATGGCGATGGGCAGCTTGTTGAGAGCGCCGACCATGGAATAGGTGGTAGACGAGGTGACGCGGATGCACCAGGCCGAGCAGTACGAGATAAAGATGGCGGCCAGACCGGAGTATATCATGCCAATCATCAGCTTGTTACGCGTCTCCTCAGGGAAGTTGCGCGCCAGGTTCTCGGCCGACCAGTCCTCGACGAGCAGCGAGCAGACGATCAGGACGGGGATGGTGAGCAGATTGTTGTAGAACATGGCTATATCTCGTTAGTTTCGACTCTGACACACCTTCCTTCAGGGGCACCTACTGTCATAGTCCTTAAAGTTCATCTTCTTAATGACCTTGCGCATGCCGAGAACATACGACGAAGTGCACACAACGTTCATGCCCATCCACGCGTAGCCGGCATTGAGAGCCGACAGGGCGCTCGAGGTATCGAGAGAGTGCATGCCATCAAGAGCGGCCTGAATATCAGCCCAGGCAGCAATGACGGAGCTGAGCACCATCAAACCGAACGAGAGAAGGGTCAAGGGAGTGACGCTGCCGCCGAACCAGAGAACTTCGCCGTAGGCGATCACGATGATGGTCAGGTTCTTGAAGATGGTGTAGACGGGAACAGAGAGGTATTGCAGCGCCTTGGCGCCAGTGTAGATCATGCCAACGAGGAGCAGCGAGATAGGGAACCCTGAGCGCGGAATATTAGCCAAAGACCCGAATCTGACAAGAGTTCAATGGGCAGAACCTACACTTCTTCGCCTTGACCGGATCAAAAGGCGCAAGGTTCTTGAAGAGACCGGCGTGCTTGAAAACGAGGATGGTCAATGTGCAGACGAGAGACTGAAGTTGTTAGCTTTTCTCTACCAACTGCTCTCGTAACCCCTCCAATTTCGTCTGGCATACCTGAACAGCGAGGTAGAAAAAGTTGAGGTTCCAATAAGACCCCGACACGACGTATTTGTTGACGACCGTCATACTGATAGACGAAAGGCAGTAGGCCAGGATCGAGGCACCCGGACTGTGATCAATCTTGTCCAGCCAGACCTGCCACGGCGTGGGCTGCGGACGGCGAGCAGCCGGCCTACGACCCAGGAAGGGGTCCTTCTCAACGGCGTCGGCGCCGCGCAGGTCGTAGTCTTCTTTCTTGTTCGACATATTGATCGATCTTATCTACTACTATTGGCGATGGTGACTTGGCAGTCGGATAAGCGAGTTTCGACCACTGTTTCTCGGAAAATGGTGGTATTATGGCAGAATCAAGATCTCCAGAATCCGAAGGAAGATTCTTCTGAAGGCGAGGAGGCGTCGGCAGCCCGGGAAGTGTGTTTTTGACGTCGATCCACGAAACGAAGGAAAAGAGAGAGGTGCGAGGAACAAAGCCACAACGGCTGACCGCTCAGATCGCTCAGGGCAGAAATAGCAACTTGTTCTTGGCTATTTCTCCGCAAAAATAGAAAAAAAAAATCCGACTTAATGTCGTCGTCGTCGTCGTCGTCAGCTCGAGGACGGGCGGGTCGGAGACGTGTGTCAAGGAGATGCCACGGAGGAGAAAGAAATGCTGAAATCCTGTTAAATTGCAAGCCCAGCCGAAACCGCACACCGCAGCTCCACGGCGGGCCTTCACCCTGACGCTGGACGCTGCTGTGGCTCGCTGGTGTTGGCGGCCCGGTCGCAGCGCCCGCTCAGCCCCTTGTTCCCCTTTTTCCTGCCGTTTGGTTGGCTGTGGGGCAGCCCTGCGGGTCACCAATGCTTGTTTTCGGATGCGACGGGGGCGAAAATTACGGGCATTTTACGCTTTCTCATAGCGTACCAGTATCACATGCGAGCCTGCTTGTAGCGTCAGATGGTTTTAGAAAACTCGAATAAGCGATGCCATGCGAATAACCGAGTTCAGGGGGGAGGGGGCAGAACGAAATCAACGGGGGCAGCTCTGACAACAACCATCCGAACCACTGTTATATTGCTATCCAAGGATTAAAAGAGCCAAGAAAATTCACCTGATATAGGTATCCAGCACATTCCTTTAGGTTACCATGAGACAACCCTATCAGTCATTTGGTTTAACCTCTTGAGATGGTTGCTCAGGCGGAGCATCTTGCATAACCTCGTCCTTGTCTTTGTTCTCCTTTTCCATTTCCTTTCCCTGCTCCTTGTCAACATCCATTTCGTCTGTCTCGGGCTTATCCTTTTTGCTATCTTTGCCCTTCTCCCTATTTTTCTCTTCATCGTCTTCTTTCTCCATTGCGTCATCCCCACCGTCGCCTGCTTCCTGCTCAACTTCCTCCTTCTTTTCGTTTTCCTCTTTGTCTTTGTCTTGCTGGCTTTCAGGTGCCTTGTTATCTCTATTGTCATCCTTCTTGAGCAGCTCTTCGGCACCTGGGGCATCGGGCGGCGGAGGGAAATTCAGATGCTTCCAGTCCTCCAGCTCCTCCGTCACAGACCGCAGTCGGTCACGGATGCTCTCGATGGCATAGCTGCCCAGCAGTAGACGCAGCGGCGGGTACGAACAATGTGCCAGTTGCCAAACTAGCTCGGCGCATTTGACGGCGCTGGTTGGTTGGCGGTCGCCGAGCCATTGCACCATGCGTTGTGCGTGAAGCGCCGGTGAGGTAGCATGAGAGTAGGCCTCACTGGCTGGTTTTATGAGAAAGTGCCCCCAAGTCGGCAGCGGACTGGCTTTAGGATCGGCTGGCTCGTCACGCCGAACCAGTCCGGGCTCGACGAGAGTCGCCTTGATGTTGAATGAGTCAACCTCATAAAGCATCGCCTCGACGAACCCCTCAACCGCATACTTCGTCGCGCAATAAGGACCCAACCCAGGGACACCCAGAGCGCCGGATGTAGAGCTAAAGATCAGATAACGACCACCATTCTGCTGGCGGAAGTAGGGCAGACTGGCCTGAACAATGTGCAGGGTGCCCATGAAGTTGGTCTCGAACTGATTGCGCAGCTCGTGCTCGTCTTGGTCCTCGCAGGCGCCGATAACACCATAGCCAGAACAGTTGGCAATGCAATCAACACGGCCGAAGCGCGCGATCGTGCGCTCAATTACGCGCCGCACCGATGCCCCATCGCGCACGTCGCACAGTAAACCCAGGCAGGTGTCGCTGTTGACCTTGGCCATGTCTTCAGGCGACGTCTCGAAAACGCGCCCGACTGTAGTGACGAGGTCCCCGTGGCTAAGAGCCGATTTGACCAGAGACCGGCCCATATGTCCCGTCCCACCAAAGACCTGGGGGTTGTTCAGTGTCTGGTAGAGAGAAAGCAAGAGCGGGGGGTGACTTACGATCCAAACCATTTGCTTCGTAGGCTGACCCGGCTCCGGAGGCCCGCAGCTCGGGGGCAGCTGAAGCCTGGTTTTGCTCGATGCCACATCAGACCCGGCCACCGAAGCCGTGTCAGGGACACTGCGCGTGTCCATGGTTGCTTGTGATGCTCCTGCTTGTACCTCAAGTTGGTCTTTTTAGTGTCCCTTGAATGACTCGATCACGGGTTATGGCGGGCCAGGCGAGCAGGAAGGTTGTGCATTCGCCCGCCAATCTACCTTCAACTCATGGTTTGCTTGGTCTGTTTTTTCTGTAAGACTGGATCCAATATCGAGAGGCTGACCAAAGCCTGTATGAGCGATGGCTATTTGAGATGCTTGGACGGGGACACGGTTGAATTCATCCAGGATCCATGGGCGAAGTGGGGTTCTGGTTGTGTAATTTTACGAGTTTTCCGTGAAAAAGTCACAACCAGCACGCTTATTTTAAAGAAAAAACCTACATTGTATCGGGGCTAATGTAATTATCGGGATTTTTAGTCTGCGGGGAACACCACATTGTTTTCATGATGATGTACATGAGCTTCATTTTTGGTTTAACCCTCCTGGCTCATGGGATCACTGGAATGGTCAATTTAGTTCATTTAAGAGAGTTGGTTTATGGTAGAGATGCGTAATCCCGATCCGGTCCTCCGCAAGTTGTCTCTTTCTGCAAACTCTCCTCCAAGTTTCAGCACTCTACTATCTGAACGTGGTCCCATAGAAAGCTTCACTATTCAGTCTCTTGCATGGTCTGCTGTGCTCCCCAGGCAGTTTGCTGAGAAATGTTATTACCGAACCTTGATTCCTCCTCAGTCCAGTCTCTCTGCTGAGCTTCGCGGGCAGCTTCTAGATCCTTGAGAAAGGCATCTCCATCAGAATCATCGCTCGGCCAGCCGTGCTTGCGATAGAGCGGCACAACCATATCCCCTCCTCCAACTCAGGCTGACAGGGCCACCGGGAAGCACCAGGAACCTCTTTAAGCTCGCGGTATCAGCGGATGATATTGCGTAGGACATCGCCCGCCGCTCGCGTGTCCGCTTCGTCATCCCAGTAACACTCTCCTTCTGGCTCCTCTTCCTCGTCCTGTTTCCTTCATCCCATTCATCGCCATCCTCATCATCTTCTTGACCAGAATGGCAATCCTTCATCTTTATTCGCTCCTGTTTCCCCCTCGTCTTCTTTTTCCGCTTCTTCATCCGCCTCCACTTCATCATCTATTTCCTCCTCATCTTTCACCTCTGCTTCTTTTTGCTCCCAATGCTCCTTTCCCTCCCTCTTCGCTTCCTCTCTTTCCCCTGTTTTTCCTACTCCCTAATTGTAGCTCGCATATTCCCGCAGTCCTCCTGGTCCTCTCCACCAAGTTCTCTCAGCTCACCATCCACACCAATCTTCCAAATACGCCACTCTCCAGTCTCCTTGTCATTCTCAGCGGTGAACGCCCCATAGAGTAGGTTTCTGTCCATACTACACGGCACGTCCGATATATCCAGAGTCGAACCGCGTGCTTCTTCGCATCATGATTCATTATGCCAGAGTAAAGCCCTCGAGGTTTCGTTACCGGGGTCATCCAGGGCCGGAGTTTCGCAGCCGGATCCCCAGATGGTGCCCAGGTCTGTGGACGTCGACTATTATCGAACACATTTTCGTCACGGAAGTTAAGGGGAAGAGAGCCACTGATGAAGCAGATATCATTGTGCTGGGTACCGTTCTCGTTAATGTAAAGGAGGATGCTGCATAAGTAGATGATGGCAGGGTGAAGGCCGACGGACAGGTATTTGGGCAGAAGGTGTGTGATATAGTGCGGTCCTTTGTCAATTACATCGGCTGGTAGATAGTGCATACGGACCAAGGTTTGGTACATTTCAAGAAGAAGGTCGGCCACCTCCTGAAGTTGGGCCTTTTTCTCCTCCGTGAGGGAAACTGTGACATTTGAAAAAAAAAAAAACAACAAAAAATCGGAGATGACATTGTAACTGTACCGCTGTACCTGTTCGATTTAAAGTTCGACTAAGATCAATGGCTGATAAGAAGATATGATTCGTTTTGCCTGTTCCTGTTTGTCCTTGAATTCCCTGACGGCTAATGCTTTAAGAGACCAGCAAGCTCTCATGACTTTCTGCCAGTCAATCCAGGCAGTTCTCCTCAGCAGAATCACTCCATCTGGATGAATGGATCCGCCAAGATGTTGGTTGCCTGACACACGGCCCAAGCTGCTGTTCTTCTTGAGGCCATCTCCCCCCTATTACATCCTTTTTGTAGTTATAACACTTGCGCGCTCAAGAAGTTGTTGTTACATTTAACCGAGATTACCCAACACCTCAGTTTCGTCCAGAAAGTCTACTGTGAACATGGCCAGTTGGTGAGGTTTGCAGCTGGACCTCTTCGATGACGGTGATGAGGAGTGCGGTATCGTAGGGGACAGACAAAAATTTAAGAAAGGTAAAATAAAATTGCTGGATTTATCCTTCGATGGGAAAGAATTCGTTCTGGAGATATGGCCTTTCACTAAGCCCTTCTGCGTGCACCAGCTAACCTCCAACTGAAAAGGCGACAAGCATATGTCTAAGGTCTTTCTAACTGTAATGAAAGGAAGTGGTATCCCTACCCACAGATATTTTTGCCTGTGTAAGCAGTACACCTTGGAGCATGTAAAACTTTTCTCGAACTTTGCTCCAACCCGTCCTTCAAGGTTTATCAACAGAGCTCATCATGGCGGTATGGCAAGAGGACTGAGCTTCAATGGACGATGAGTTGAGTGGCTACTTTCCAATGATAGTTTCATCTAGCTTTAATTGATGCCTTAATGAAAGATGAAAGATATGTTGCAACGCGAAAGGGATAATGCTGGGGGGGGGGTGGTGGGGAGGGTGAATTGAGACAGGACCGAGATTAGCGCCATTGTAGTGGTATGCTATGAAAAATACTTGGCTACAGTAAGTCAGTCAAGTATGTGTCCTCCAAGATTATGGGAGCTGTGTTAGATCAACCCACTACTTGTACTCATCCAGTATGTCTTCTCGAGGGGAATGTGGCCGCTGTCGGGGAGACCCGTGACCTAACGCATTCCGGTGCGAAACAGGGCTTGGCTGCTGGATTACTTTATCGATAAGCAACTAAAGCTGCGATACGAGCCTTCATGGATTGCGACAGATGATCCCTCATTGCGCAAACGGATGTTTGACGGCGAATTCTTATGGGTTTTCTCTGAATGGATGATAATCATGCCAAAATGCTGCACCTGTGGTTGCTGGCGAGTAGCCGGTGAAACCAAGAAATATCTTGGTGCCCCTCACCACCTTTTTTTTTAACCAGGCCGCCCCGCCTTGCGCAATTCCCCGTGATCGCGGAATCAACCCACCCTTTTCATCGTAACCTCTCAAACTCGTGCCCCCAAGACCTTCTTATCAAGTTGGCACCTCCCCAGACCTCCATTTCCTAAAACCTGACCTTCTTCTGTTTCAAAGTCGAAGAACTGCTTCAATTTTTTCTTTCAAAATGAGGGCCTACATCTACGATGATCTACCCGTAAGAGCACCCTCTCAAAAACTCCTCACTCATACATACCCATCCTTTACCTTCCCATGTAACAGTATGATTGGAACACAAAACTAAGATACCAAAACACCTCAGGGCGACCAGCGCCTGGCCCACGACTCAGGCGAGGAGGTGTCTGCCTCAGAGCTCAACTCTCTCGGCGTCCTCTACTACAAGGCCACATCATTGGACGAGGTGAACGCGCTGGCGCAGCAGCGCGGGTACAAGAACCGGGACGAGATTGAAGTGAGCCCGTCGGCGCTGGGTGAGTCGTATGAGACCAAGGTGCGCAGCTTCTTCACCGAGCACCTGCACGAGGACGAGGAGATCCGGTACGTGCGCGACGGCCGGGGCTACTTCGACGTACGCGACAAGCAGGAGCGGTGGGTGCGCATCGCGGTTGAGAAGGACGATCTGCTTATCCTGCCGGCGGGTATCTACCATCGGTTCACCACTGATGAGAGTAACGTAGGTGACAACGCGATGGACTAAGTTTTGAGCACAGTGAGGTGCTGACAGTCTGCAGTACATCCAGGCAATGCGCCTGTTCAAGGAGGAGCCGAAGTGGACGCCCCTGAACCGGTCGGAGGAGCTGAATGATAACCCCTACCGCAAAGAGTATGTTGCCACTTATCTGGCTTAATTGGGCTTGACACTGGCGAGGATTCACTGTTTCGGTTATGTTTTTTTAAAGACAATAAAAGCATATTGACTATTCGTTGTGATCTGCTTGTGTATTGTATACTATTGTGTGGGATACTGGCCGATTGTTATATCTGGCTCCATTGGCGCCTGCCATTTGGCCACACACTGATGGCTCACTCCTACCACTTCCATCACCATAGTGTGAGAGCGAAGTTCATTCAGAGCTTCCATTTTCTTCAATCCTGAGGTTCCCATGTTTGCCTGCCAATGGACCAACCGACACTCAACGCCCAGATATGCAATGCCCCAACCCAAAACGCCACCACCCAAGAAACCAAGAAAACATGAATGCCATCCGATTCGTTGATACAACAACCAGTTATCAACAATTATGATCAACCCCTCCCCCCCTCCCTTCTCCCTCCAAACAGTCTCTAATCTTGTCTAGTCCAGGCTCACCTCACGTCTGGTGGCCGCACATCGGCTCTGGCAACGGCAATATCATTGTCGACGTCATTTGCTGTCTCTTCATGTCTCTGTCTCCGTTCTGATGGCACACGTTAACTTCATGCCTATTGACTAGCTCTGTCTAAACACAAGAACTCACCAAACAACCGGCACCACCATCTAGGAGGGTCCAGTGGCCTCGACCCGCCGTGCAGCGGCGGGTACACGTCATTGAAGAAGTACCAGATATGACCGATGAGCACGCCCATCAGCTCGTCCTTAGGCACGGTGCCGTGAATAACAAAACTGATGCCCATCAGCACCCAAGGCAAGTATGGCGCACGGAAGGTGAGCAGCCCGAGGAAGCTCATAAGAGTATCTGGGTTGCGGCGCGACCAGATGTAAACGAGCGTCGATGATAGCGGGTGGCCGAGGAAGGGCATTTGGACGAAAGGCGACAGAAGCAGCAGGCTGGCCATGGAGAAGAGCAGCAGCCACGAGAAGTGTGCTGGCGACCGGCCTGATGACTCTTCAAGCAGGCGCGAGTAGCGCTGCAAAAAGTATATGTGGAAGAGCAGGTCGATTGAGAAGGGGCCGAAGTAGAGAAAGGTAGTTATTAAGCGCCAGTACTGAGTAGGAAAGTTAGCGTTTCATGGCCATCTTGTATCGTGCAAAGCATTTACACACCTGCGACTTTTGGAAAACTGTGCGATAGCTATAAAACAGCTGGAAAGGAGTGATCAGCTTGCACTGGACGAGCCCGCTCGTCAGGACGGTGGCAGTTGTCCACCACCGAGTGCAAATGGGCATTTCCCAGAACCAGGTTTCCAGGGGAAAGGCCCCACCATCGCCCATTATCTGATCCATGGCGGGAGTATGCTGCCGTCGGTGCTGTTTTAAACAATCGGCGAGTCTGGACAGCGAGTGCGGTATGCGAAGAGCGGGGTGTGCGGCAGCGCTGCCGTCACTGGCTTTGTTTGCAGTTGCAGTGCGGAATCGGCACAGAGACTCTCTGCAACAAGCGGGCGCTTCTTCTTCGCAGGTGCTGGCAGACTGCAAAGTGCAGTTCAAACTTGGATGGTCGTGTTGGATGAACTCATGTGTTGATATCCTCTCGGTGGCTCGCCTAAAATCAAGGGAAAGACTTCAGCGGTGTCGAGGGGCAGCGGTTCACGGCGTCGCAATGATGTTGAGGTGTCCTTTCGGCGATGATATTCCATCCATCCAACGGCTTATCAGCGACGTTAGGCCAACCCCAACCCGCCCCGACCCCAGATTAAAGTGGAGCACCATCCCCAATGAGTGGTGACGCCACTTTGTGCAGATGCTTCAGGAACCGTACTATGCATATCCTGAAGCTATCGAACAAGCGGTGCCAGCCAAGGGGCAGAGCCACAAAGCCCCACTCCCCAGCCACCCATTAAAGACCTGGTTTCTCTGTCGCGTCGCGAATGCGTCGAGGTTCGCGCGTCGGCGAAAGTCTTCAGAGTAGCTCGAGCTCCCCTAATCCCCCCCCCCTTAACCTCCCTGATTCGTGCGATTCTCGCAATCCCTCGATAACTGGCGCGGGTTCGGGCTAACTGGCAAAAGTAATCGTCTTTTCTAGCTTCTCCAGCTTCTCTGTAATCCGTACTTTCGTCTCTTGTGCAGCAATTCGTTGGACACTGCTGTATTATCCGACAAGCGCATCGCGCTCGCGTCGTAGCATCCCACTTTATTCTAGCTCCCGTCATCGCACCTCCAACCCACTGCAACCGTCCCCTACCTGCCGCGCAGCAGCTTTTACAGCTCTTCCATCTGGATCGCAACAACTTCGCTGACCTTCAAATCAACCAATTGGGTCGCCGTCGTATCCCTAACCTACTTGCCTGCCTACACGCGTAGCTTCTGCTGCTCTCTTCCCTTTCCCAGCTTCTCTCCGAAACTATGGCGCCGAAGACCGCGCAAAAAACAGCAGCCTCAAGACCGGGCGTTGCCATTGCAAAGCAAACACCCACAAAGAGAGGACGTCCATCAGCAGTCGCGCAAGATGCGTCGGTCGGGAAAAGACCCAGGCAAAGCAGTGTTCAACGTATGTTCTCTACTCCAACAAACTCTACCTGTCATGCTCCTCGCTAACCCCCTTCGCAGCAGGCGACCCTGTGCCCCAAGGCAAGAAGCGGCGCTACAGGCCAGGCACCCTTGCGCTGAAAGAGATTCGCCGCTACCAGTCCAACACCGACCTGCTCATGGCCAAACTGCCTTTTGCTCGTCTGGTACGAACTCACCCACACGAAAGCGCCTGCTCATCACCTCCGCAGCAACTAACGGCCCCCCGTTCAAAAACAGGTCCGTGAAATAGCCCTCGATTGCCGTCCTGAAGGCGAGGAGCTCCGCTGGCAGTCGCAGGCCATCCTCGCGCTCCAAGAAGCTGCCGAGGCTTTCCTGGTGCACTTATTTGAGGACACCAACCTGTGTGCCATCCACGCCAAGCGTGTCACCATCATGCAAAAGGATATTCAGCTCGCCAGACGAATCCGCGGCGTATGGGGCGGCGCTGGCTGGATATGATTCGGTCTTGGTAATCGACCAAGTGCATGGCACATTATCATATGCTGTCATTGTTGCTTTCGCTGCCGGGGCTGGTTTACCTAGCTTCTGAGCTTTCCAGAAGCGTTGGCTTTGCGCCAGTTGTCGTGCATTGCTGGCTTTCGAGCCCAGGCACTGAACAGGTTGCCCGGGCGTTGGGGAACAGCCGTCAGGCTCGCGAACATGATGTGCCGACAATCCCTTGGCGCTCACTGCGCCAACTCCAGGCTCGATGGCGTATGGCAAAGCTCTGAAAACTGGAAAGGGCAGGGCCCTTAACAACAGCCAAGTCAGTCCGGACAACACCTCTTAGTCCTGCTGAGCCTGCAGGACAAGAGTTAATTGAATCATCCTTGCTTTGGATTTGCTCGGGGACATATCTTTTTCCCCTCGATTCATCTTCGGTATCACCGGTTAGGGACTGGGGAAGGCGGCATTCAGTGTCCCGAGTTTCTGTGGCTTTTGCTTTTTGCGCTGTATATACGCTGCGAAAAAAGGGGACTGGGAGGGTGTCAGCATGGTTGAGTTTTCTCTTCTCACCTCTCTCCTGCCATCCGCAGGCTTTCTGTGTCTTGCTTAAGGGATGCCACATGGGTTTATTTCAGTGGGCGGCGGTTAAATGCAGGCGAGGCGACGGTTGGCGTTAAGAGTTTCTGGGAGTTCAAGGCGTTTTGGGCAACATTATGCGGCGTGGTCATCATTGGCTCTATTTTTTTTCTATACACATGGATCATCAAGAGCTTGGGCCGACAGCGGGGAACTAAGGGAAGCTTTGCGCGGGGTGTGCTAGGTAAGCTACGGCAACTTGGCTTCCAGGATACTGAGTATATCATAACCCTTGGGGCCGTTAATACGGGCATGAAATTCTGTGCGTGAAGAAACGGTTGAAGATTGGCGCTGATTGTTGTTTGCGTTGCCATGTCCCATTCGCTCGATGGAGTATGTTATCTGCCGAGGTCGTCATGGCCGTCATCTCATCATCTGAACCATGGAACTCAGCCCGCCTCAAGACTGGTCTACCCCTCCATAATGCTCATCTCCATATCTGCGTCCCATGAGCGGCCTAGCTAAGGAATAGGTATGGTGTGTTTGTTGTTGTGATGACAACGAACAGAAGCCCTCTCTCCTTAGCTGGCGTAGCTAGGCCGGGTGTGTTTGCTTGGTGATGGACGGGCAAAGTGGGCAAGCCGGACCGAATCCCCGAGTATGGCTACAGGTGATGGGAACAAACTTAACTGGCGACATTCAGTCGCGGGGTATAAGCGTCAGCCGATATAGGCCTCCATTCGACCATAGCAATGTAACCCTATGTTGTCGATGCACACTGCACACACAACCCGGTGCTGCGGGATGAGGGACGCATTTATGTATCACTGGACTGCCAACAGGCACCGAAAATGCACCATATCTGGTTCGATGACTGCTGGAGAGTCGTAGGCACTGTTTCCATCTTTGATCCTCGGTGTACATGTTTCCTTCTAATAGCCAGTTCTATTGGTAGAGACCCTTCTAATGCTACAAATTATCTATCCTCCGAGCGAGTGACAGCGGATCGGCCGATAAGAGGACTAACTCTATAGGGTTTGACAGACAAGAGAAAGCACAAACGACGGTACGCTTCCGTTCTTTTCAGCAGATGGAACACAAGGAAAATGAGACGCAGCTGGTGAGACTGTAGTTGGAAGCCAAGAAAAACTCCTGTTTTTGCATGCAACTGTCCCAACATTTCCAAGAAATCAAAAATCCCCCCTCCCTGACCTTTCACCATGTTCGTATATCCCAGATCTATAATGTTCCCAACCGAATCACCCCAGTAAATGCTTCGCCCGATGTAAACACAGTAGAGAACGATGTAAGAAAATAAGCAAAGCATCAATGAAAACTTATGTGACAGAGGGCAGTGCTATCCTTACCCTCTGATGTGTACGGAGTGTGATTGCATCCACACTCTCGGTTGGATATATTCCCCCGTTCTGTTGTTATCTGTGTACTGTTATAGTATATACCCTTCACATAACCAAGATCTGCCGTCTTGTTCACAGCTACTCAAATCATCCTGCCCAACAAGCCATTGCCCATGCCCGTCTCCTTCACTACCGATGGGAACAGCGAGTACTGACCCGGCGGCGGCGGAGTGCTGAGGCTGGTCGTCCGCGCGCGGCCACGACGCAAGGCCTGCTGAAGCGACGAGGGCGGCGGGACTGTTACCTTTGCCTTGGGCATTGGTTCATCCGAGCTGCTATTGGAAGTGATGGTAGCTGCCAGCCTGCGAAGGTTGGACTCGCTACCACGGTGCCTGAAGCCAGTGCGGTGCAGCGCCCGACTGAATGATGGTGGCGGCGGCGCGGCTTCAGTCGTCTCGGGCACCGAAGGCATCGGCATGTTGGCGTCGAAAGCAGGGAACGGCTCGGCCGCCTGCTGCTGCTGCTGCTGCTGCTGCTGCTGCTGCTTGTGAGCATCAATGTCGAGCGAGGCGATGCTGGCGCTGAGCCGAGTGTAGTCGGTCGACACAGTCGACGCGGTGGAATAGTGCTTGTCTTTAGAGGAAGAGCTGCTGTTGTTGATATCCTCGGCCTCAAAGAAGGCTGAGTTAGTGCTGCTGCCGACCGTAGAAGCGCTGGTGCGGTACCGCGCCATCATCGCAGAAGGGTCCATACTGCTGCTAGCGAGATGCGAGAGCTCATCATCATTATAGTGACCACGGAAGTCGGTAGGGAAGCCGGCGGCCTCGCGCCGTTCGGCCTCATACGCCATCATGTGATGCTGAAAGTCCATTGGGATCAAGAGAGACGGCGAAAGAGTAAAGCCGTGAGACTCCTTGAAGCTCGATGCGTCCGAGGACTTGCGGACGTGAGGATTCTTGCTGACGTCGGTGCGCGGCAGCGAAAAATTGGACACCTTCGCGTTGCTCAGAGGGGCCGGGGTAATTGCTTCATGTGCAGTCGCCGCGGATGAGATCTGGCTGGCTGGGCTCAGAGCGGGCACATCGAACTGTCCCGGAGTCAGCATATGAGGGGACCCCTCCTCCACCGCCCCTTTCCGACCTTGGGAGCCGTCCACGGGAGTAGCATTATCGCCATCCCGCTCCATCTCAAACGAGGGACGACTCCATTCGTAGTCGCAATCAGCCTCGCAAGCATGCTCATAACAGTAGTCGATATCGTCCTCCCAATCCTCCCGGGGCAATGTGTCGCACTTGCTCTCCATCAACGCAGCCCGAAGTGCCTGTTGAGCTGAGAACAGGTCAAATTTGCCCAAGGTGTCGGAGCCTTGGCTGTTGCGGCAGCTGTCGTCCTGGAGAGTTGAGAAGGCCCTAAGCATTGGCACAGATTGGCTGCTGCGCAAGGACGACGTGCCATTGCCGCTGTCTCCGGTCGACTTCTTGCCACCAAATGAAGCCTCGTCCTCCTCTGGGACACCAGGCAGCGTGTACTCGGACGAGCAGGGGAGGGGCCAGTTTGTGTCGTCGGCTGGCGGGCTCGTGACATGCGAGTAGCCATGCTCAGGGATGACGTCCATGTCAGGGCCTGGCGCATAGCCATACGATGTCGCTGGAGGGCTGGTGGTATCGACGTAGGCTGGGAAAGGTTGGGTGCCGCGGAAACCAGTGCTGGTCTGCGGCCTGCTGCTGTAATCGATCGAGTCAAACCGCTCATGTCGCAGGGAGGTACGGCTCGAACCACGTGGAGGAACAGAGGGCGCCATCGAGGGACAAGACGGTTCAACAGGGGACCTTGGCGGCCGAGGAGGTGGCACGGTGACACCAAACTGTTCCTGCGACATGGCACGGTGAAGACGCCTAGGCGGGTTCTTCTTCAGCACAGAAGGGGCACGTGAAAGACTAGTAATGGCCTTCACTTGCATCTCGGCAGCTGTAGCATCGTCATTCACTGCAAGGTTGTCTGACGAAAAGCCAGCAAAGTGCATGTCGCTCGACTGACTGGGGCAGGAGACTGGAGCTGGCGCTGTCCTGAGCTGCGTATAATTGGCAGAGGGACCATCCAGAGCTTGGACCTGTTCTCTATCCGTATGGGCAATATGCTGGAAGTTGTACGGCCCAGAGATGGTCAGCTTGCGCTCACGACCCTCCCCACCCTGCTCCTGCCTGGAGCCGCGGCGGATACCAAAGAGGGCGGGAATCGTCGACTCGCGGCCAGAGTTGAGAGTCTGGGAAGGACCGTCGGTGGCTGCGTCAGTCGAATAGATGGAGCTGGCTGCTGAGCTTTGCGCGCTGCTTTCCCTCCTCAGCTTGGGGCGGCGGTTGAAGATGGTCTTGCCAAAGATTTGCACGCTGTCCGGCCGGTCCTTGCTCGGCATCGCACTGGATGCTGAGCGCCCCGAGCGCCCCGATGACTTTCTCGAAAGCGTTCCCTCTTGACCTATTTCCCACAGGGGCTTGTCGGCAGAGGTCAAAGAGCGGAGGGATGAAGAAGCAGACGAACTGGCGTGGTGGCCGCGATGCTTCTCGTGCTGTCTATCATTGATGGAAGCCCGCCTCAGTTTGTTGCTCAGGTCGCGGATGTTCTCGGGGGACGGGGGCCCATCGAAGGCAGGATGATCGAGAAGATGGTCAATCGAGCTGGTCTCTTGCCGGGAGGCATCGGATAACGGGAGCGGCCGGAGAGGGGGCGGTGCTGCCAGCCCCTGGGGCCCCTCCAGACTTAGAAGCTTCTTCTTGGTCTTCCCCTTGACTCCCTTGGACTTGGGCCGCGTGTCACTGACCGTGTACACGGGCAGTCCGGACACCGCCCACATATTCATCTTGGGCAGTTATTCTGTATCGTTGTTGGCGTCTTCGCCGTCGTCGTTGGTGTAAGTGCGTGATAGTAGGTTACAGGTTGTCGTTGCTGGCTGTCGACAGTCGTTGACTCACTCGCGTCCCTCCCTACAACACTAAGACCGACACAAATACTCGTTGTTATTCAGTTTGCGTTCCTGTCCCTTGGCTTGCGAGGAGGGGATATGCCCGTCCGTGGCGTGTAGCGGAGGCTTGCCCGCATACGTATGGGGGCATCCGCGTTGAAGGTCAAAGGGCGGTCGAGATGTACGGCAAAGGCACACAGCAGAGCCCGGTCTAACGCATCAACGCGGGTCACGTCGAGCAAGTATGTGAATATGCGAGTATGTGGTATGTGGCGGGTGGGATTATTTTATTCTCAAGCACTGTGTAATCCGCAGTGTAGCATTAGCCGTGTCAAGATCAAGATGGTCGCCAGGCAAGAGGACCTGGGATCAAAAGCCAGGAAACAAGATCGACAGAAGAGTCTGTGGGGGAGAGGGACGGGACCCGGGGTGTCATATATTGCACTGAAGAGGATCTCGTGGACATTTGCACTGCTTTCCCCTTCCGATGCCAGCCCATGGTGCATCCATTCACTCCTCTGGGGGGGTGGAGGAGAGGGGGAGGGGGGGGGGGCGGCCAACGGCTTGGTGCCGACCGATGGCTTGCCAATGGTACCAGGCGGGGACCAGGGTAAGTTTCCACAGAAGGTCCAAGGCACTGTTGCACTCAAGTCGCGTTTTAGCTGCAAGGGGAGTCCCGGCGTGGTCGACAGTGGGGCTGGAGAGTAAAACGACCAGGGGCACGACGAAGAAAACTCTGAGCTCAGAAGTGCCCAGGGTGGGATGGTCGGTGCGCCGAAGTGAAGACCCGGCGCAGGGGTCCCGTGGATCCTGTCTTGATGCCTATCCTTCCAGGAACAGCAGCCCCCGGGCCCTTCATGTCTTCTGTGGTCCGGTCTTGGCCTCTTGGGTTGGCTTGGCGCAAACTTGGGGTGTTGAGTCTGCCACCGATCGTCAGTGCTGCCGGCCCATTCCCCACGAAAACGGTGCGTCTACCGTTGAAGCCTCCGAGATGGCGGTGCCCTTTCCGTGTGCTAACTCACTTCATACGACACGTTGAAGTTTCGTCCCGTGATTCTTTGGATCAACTGCATCGATTGCTCGGAGCCCCAGATGTGAATCGGAGCAATTGGACCTGTGAAGATAGTCTGTTGAATGGTGCCAACCAACCAACGCTACCCGCACCTCTCCAATTTCTTGATGCTGCCTAAGAGATCTCCCGTTCGGATGGACGGCTCATTCCTCTTTTCCCTGACTATCCCACCAATACCCCGCATCGCAGGAATTGCCTTGGCCTGTCAGCAGATGGGATGCCATCTTGCCCCGGGACAAGACCCAAAAGCACGGGACGAGTTGGGGAAATGCCATCGTGGAATCGGTCTGCTAAAAATCATGCCGGACAGTCACGGGCCGGAAAGAAAGTTGGGAGTTGATGGATCATGGTCGCACCAGCTAGCCAATATATTTCCGCAGCGATATCTCATTTCAATTTCGGGTTCCGCTCCAAGACACACAGCGAGAAGGACGTCCACTGTTCCACTGCACTGTGCTATATTAGAGCTCGAGAAGCTCTATACATTGCTTAAAGCTGAGCTGCTGGTGAAAACCATGGGACGGCTGGTAGCCGTCGCGGCTATATATGTGCATGGGGCTTCCCTGAAGGTATTGATGAAATTAAGCATTGATAGCCTTCAGCTGATCACGGTAAGCCTCTCTGCCCGGACAGGCGATAGCAAACACGGTTTTTTTTTTCAAAAAAAAATCATAGAGTCAGCCTTTTTTTTTCTATGGACGTTGGCAAGCTGAAGCAATGCCTATCGGATATGCTTGCGCAAGCCCTACCCCCTCGTTGCAGTGTGGCACCGGGACTGCAAGCGAGTAGCCGTCAAAGGTGCCAATATTGAGGAGCCGTGACACATTGCTGGGTTTTCGATGCTGCTTCCAGACGTCGAATGTTCGTCCCGGAAGTCCTAGGCATGTCGCATGTCGGTTACTGCCCGTCGCGAGTACAACGTCGCCTCGCCTGTGTGTGTGTGTGTGTGTGTGTGTGTGTGTGTATTAGTGTGCCTATACACACAGTACGCAACTTGCCGGCTCGGGACCCCGAAGTTACGCTGCGATAAATTTAGTCCTCCGACCAGCCTGATTCGTCGTCCTCATCGAGTACGTGCAGCTTATACATGCCGGTAAGTCTCGCTGGTGCCGCACATTCATTGAATTGTGGATGAGAATGAGACTCTCAATTACACTCTTGGAGAAACACGCTGGTCGGTTTGTGGCGACCACTTGCACACTCTCTCACATGCCGTGTGCCGCTGAGGCATATTTCGGCCGACTAGTCGGCGATGCAATCTTGAGCCGACGCGGCCTGCCGTCTTCCACGTGCAAATCGGCGCGGGCGCCCTCGTCCAACATGCTTGTGGCTGTGGCAGAGCCGGCCAGAGCTCCTTGCCTACCTACCAGTGCTGACAGGACTGGACGTGTGGTGTAGCGCGGTGTGTGGTCTGCGTGTCGGTGGTGTGTGCCTCTCTCAAACCTACTCTAGGCAGTTAGCGCGTACTACCATGTGCTCGCCGACTCGCCCCAGATCCCATCAAGATGTCGGCCAACCTGCCATCCGGAGGTGGTGAGCGCCGTGGTTCGATGCTTGGTGTGGGCTTCCGGCGTCCTTGGCTCTGGGGTAGGTCCCTCATCCCCGCAATCGAGCCAGAATCTGGGGCGCTCAAGCGGATGTTGGATCGGGGAAGCGGGACGCAAGCCAGACCCCAGGCCTGGAACACCCCGCCTGGTGAATCACCGCTGCGACATAGGGCCAATTGCCCATAGACTGTAAGGACCTGGGTTGAATGCGTGTAAGCTTCTAAACATGCTCGGCCAGTCTCCCAAGCTCGGCGATCCAATTTGCTAGCACCAAGCAGCATGCTGGTGGTTCGCCATCATCAGTATGTACGTAGTGCAATGTCTACTGCGAGCTTGGTCGGCGACTTTGCTTCGTACCGAGGATTCATGTGTTAGACCACCAATGACCACAGCTCCAGCCCACCAATCCATCCGCGTCTTTGCCACTACCTAAGTACTGTGTACGCAAACGCTCTGCATCAAGCCGAAACGCCAGTCCAAAGATCCATGGATCGCAACGGGCAGTTGACAAGCTTAGGTACATTCCACCCAGGTGGTCCAACCCTCCCACGTCCTTCCATCGTTCACCCACGATGGACATCGTGATTGCAAGCCCCCTCACTGGGGAACGGTTGGCCCAGCCCCAGCGCTGCGCACACGCTTTGCGCGAATTCAGTAAATCGAGCAACCGCCTGCCTGTCGCACTTGCGTGATGAACGTCTTCCCCCCTCAGCTTATCGTGCCCTCTTTCCTTCTGGTTTTGGACACGTCTGGTGTGGCTGCGTCGTCTCTCTTTCCTACCTCAATTCTCTCCTTCTCGATGCAGTTGGGAACCCCGCTCAAGATCAGGCAGGCCCCCGGCATCATCTCCGCATCGAGACCGGTTCTCCGTTTCTCTCCTGCGGCCGTTTTCACCAATTATCAGTCTGAGACTGGGAAGTCGAAATAGAGTTATCGCTCTCATGCGATCGGCCCCTGGCAGGTAATAGATGACCATTGTCTGCTTTGGGATTTGGATTTCCAATTCCACTGTCTAGCGAAGCAGCTTTCCAGCATGCCTTCTGCAACATCGCGACAGTGACGGGATCAAAAGAGAACCAAGATCCCGCAAACACCAACTCCAGCACCGGCTAAATTCCAATGAGGCTAGGCGGCAACAATACTACGGAATATGGTTCCGAAGAGGACGACCTCATGAGCGGGCCTGAAACCCGCCGTTACGTTGAGATCTGATTCCAGCTCTACGATGATCCTGAAGAACCCGACAGCCTCGTTCGCCCAGCCTTGGCTTGCATGTGTGGCGTCCAATGGCGAGCAAGGAAACTTTGGTGAAAGGCCCGTGAGGCTGTGGCTGGTGCAACAACCGATCTGGTTCTGAGAGACCATGGCAATTCCACCAGTGAGACAGCACCTGCATTTTTCTTGTTGTCTGATCCGCCGGGAGAGCGATGATAAGGATTTCATATTGTCAAGCCAAGGTTTGATTGCTCACGCGCGTATTAGAGGATCTCAGCGCCATCAGTAACTCCGTCACTTGGCAGCAAGTTTGCCTAATGTGCCCAATGACTTGCTTGCAAGCGCCGTCTCCTTGCAGAAACGATCAGCCCTAGCTCTGGTCATGTTCCTTGCACTGCTTCCCTCCACTACGTACACTGCATGCCATGGGAGGTGAACCTCGGAATCAAATTTGAACGAGCTCCGGTGATTTGGAAGCGGCACAGCAGTATAGACTCGGTTCAACTCACCTCGGCACCATACACTTGCTTACCTAATGTTCACTCACCCAACCCCCCCAACCCTAGCCATACCTCTCAGAGCTTGGATCTTCGAGCCAGCGTTCTACACTACGTATACAAACTACACCAGAAATACGGCACTGTGATGAACAGTGAAATCCATAGTCTAGGCATCCCAGTTACCAGTCGTCAGATCAAGCCAAAGCCATAAACAATCGACGACGGCAACGTTTTCTCTATCCAGCACACCGAAGGTCTAATGTCTAATGATTGCTGATCCTTGCAGTCTGAACCAAGTTGACAGCTCCTTGCACGGATCAGCGCCCGTTCTGTTCTCCAGCTCCTGTTCCGCCATCCGGGGGTTGAATTTGGCAAATGACACTCTGCCAAAATCCCGATGTCTGTTTATCAAACATTCCCTGGTGACGTTCTGGCTGGACGACAAACACGTCACCTCACTACAAAGTGCCGCTACGTTGTTGCCTGAAAAAAAAGAACTGTTGACGACAGGATGTCTGGTTTGGATTAATCTCTCCATCGGGCCGGCTGGGGAAAGAACACCTC